GGCCAAAAACTTTGGGGTACTTGAAGAAATGCTTAGCAGGTAAATGAGCTCCACTCAGTCTCAAATTCGCTTTGTGACTCATCAAAGAAGATTACAAAAAGTCAACACTTTTCGTTGTTGTTTTGAAGATCGATCAAACTGGTTTTCAGCAAATGAGATGGACACGACGATATATATATGTGTCTTGCTATATAAACCCGTATTATTCGCATGCAAATTGGTTGATTTTGAAATTTTTTTTTTGCAAAAAAAAGAAACAACAATAAAGACGGCAATGTGTTGATGACTTCACCTCAAGCCAAAAAAATAAAGCTGCTCTGCGAACGTGAGGAGAGTTTTATTTTGATTCAGATTTATTTTCAGGCACCCTGGTCGAACTTTTTTTTATTCACATTCGCATGTAGAACACGTTTGGGTTATCTAACCTCAGATGAAGTAGGCGTCCAGTAGGTGGCTTCGATTGAGAGGTAACCATTATGAGTAAAGTGAGTTCTTGGACGCCTCGAGAAGTCCGCCCACTTTTTATGGTCAGTTGAGTGAAGCGATGGGCATTGTGGGTGTGGGACTCGATCGAAAGGCGGAAGATACGCTCATATTCATGATTCAAGTTGATTGGTAGAGAAATAACTTATATTTATCATAACTGACTATTATACAAATTACACAAATGTTGTTTGTTTTGCAGAGATTTCGTTTTAGTTTTAAGTTTATTATATGAATTTATTTGAATAATTATATACATTATCGTATTACGAACAGTAATTAAGTACGAAATGAATACAACATTTATTTGCTCTTTGCACGAATTCTGCCTTTAGTATTTATGAATATTTTAGTTTCCATTAGGAAATGCTTAATAAAATAAATAGGTTATCTAACCATTTTCCTTTATTGTAATAATCATCAGCTATTTATTAACCATCAGAAAACCCGCAGAATTTCCTTTCATTAGCAACTTCACTTCCATTTTCTATGGTTAACCATATCCTGTTTACAGAAAGACTTCCACCAACAACAATAATGGCTAACCAAAGAACGTTTAAATGGAATTACCTTTTCATTAGCATTCTTTGATCGGGGAAACGGTTGAAAGTTTCAATTTAATATCGTAATTGATCAAAGAACAAATTGCCATCGCTTCTGACTTGCCGTTCCACTAAAAGCTCTTAAATAAATTACTGAAACCAGTTGGCCAATGTCAGAAATAAATAAAACTCGAACAAAAAAAATGTTATTAAAGCAATAAAACTCTGGCGGCGAGATCGTAAATTCAGGGGTGTAGACTTTCGAAAAGGCCAAAGGGGTCTGAGCCGATAGCAGTTTGAATTATTTAAACGGCTAACCGTAACGGACGCCTACGTTCCAAATTATATATTTTACTTTTGGCTGCCATTTGCAACACTTTGGCGTCGTCGTCGTCGTTCAAAGTTGGGTTTAAATTTCCTAACCAGTAATAGTAATAGCAACAATTGTCTGCAGATCGTGATAAACGAGCGACTTTAAGCGAAATACAATAAGACGCCAGATTCCAATTGATTTCCACTCAATTGTTCTCCTCGGCTTGAAACTGGGCTTGAAGTCAAAAGCTGGGCGAAGCAAACACGTTTTGGTAGTCAGACAATGGTCAACTATTTGGTCGATTGTCTGTGAACTAGATAATATGAAGTGGGCTTGTAAGAAATTGTAAGCGAAATGAAATATGGCTGAGAACGTGTAGAGAATAAAAGCCCGATTCACAGCTGGCTATTTATGGTTAAAGCTGTTAAAGTTCAGATTTAAGAGGTTGAAAGGTGTGAAAAGCCCTCAATAAGGTAGCAACAGTTATATCACTAAATTAAATACTTGAATTAATCTATACAGAAACTAATTCCCTCTCTTCAAAATAATCAAATTTCTTCACGAAAAAAACCCTTAGAATGACCACTACGAATCCAAGGCCTCTGAACCCATTAGCATTTCAGAATAGGGCACAGAACGATATTATATTATGGCGTATATAAAAGTTAATGCAAAAACAAATCGGAGCTTAAAATAAAAGCCAATGCTCGTAAATTGGCACACACGCTTCAACAGACCGCGAAATAAAAAAAATGGGCGAGCTTCGGACCACGGCAGTAACAACAATACCAACAAAAACCCGACCAAAAACTACAACCATTTTAGCCAGAACCAAACCAAACACCAAACACCTACAACAGAGCAGCCTAATTACGTCAGTCAGCAACAGACCGGACTCGAATATGGTCTATACTATATAGTTATATATAGTATTCGCTTGGGATGGGCCTGTTTTAGCTGACCAGCGAAGTGACATTGTGCGCTCCAAAACGCAAAACGCAAAAGAAATTAATTAGATTCGCTAACCACAATTTTGCATATTGCCAAAAACACGCGAATAAAAGTGAATCTAAACGAAAACTTTTGGTTGGCTTTTGGTGGCAGACGCCTCACGTCACTTGGCCAAAACAAAAGCCCAAAAGGTAAAGTCAAGGTGACTGGAATCCAAGAGATTTATGCGACAGCTCCACGGCAGAATTCCCTATACGATCACCATAACTCAAAGACTAAGCAAATAATTAAAATGACAATTGTCGTTGTGCAACTGTCTGTCAGGAGTTGACCTTTTGAGTTGGCCTAACCCAGTTTCATTTGGCTAAAGCGATTTCCATTTGATGGCTAATGGAAAATGGAACATGGGAATTCCTCGCTTTTGGGGTTTTAATTGGAGCGCTCTATAATAAAGTTAATGATTTTTGAGCAGCCAAACGAATTTCATTTAAATTGTTAATGGTTTTGGAATGTGTGATTTGAGAAAAATGTTTTTACTTTTATTGAGATTTAAAATGAACCAAAATATAATTTTACCAACTTGTAAATACTCTTTTATTGCTTTTGTTGAAGCTTTGAAATCATTAGTCGATTTCATTTGTTTTAAATTTTTACTTCATTAGAAAGTGATGTGACTTTAAGTACCTCCTCCAATATTTACATTTTTCTGGTTAAAATTATCGCATCGGTGACATCATCTTTGAGTTTACCAGGATATAACCCGGCCAGCCCAGCAATTGGCCTTCGTACTTTCGTTTCCCCCATGAAGATGAAGTCACTCGACGCGCTTAAAACTGACAGCAAAACCAAAAGCTAAAAAAAAAAAAGTGGAATACAAAACTGAGTGGATGTGACTAAGCCAACTACGTAAATATGGCCCAAACCCACGGAAAATGAGTGCCAGCGAAATTATTCAAGTTCAACGCATTGCGGTGTCCTCTGTTTGGGTTACTGACACCGTCAGTTGGTCCCAAACCATCCCAACATTTCCTGGTGTTTCCGTGCATTGAATGGCCATTAATCGGGCGTAATTGATAAGAATACATTGGGTTGTGGTTCGGTCAACAAAAGTACATTAGCCTAACTATCGGCGATGGGATTCTTAGGGTGGAAAAGCGAGGAAATCGGGGTAAGTTTTCAGGGATTGAGGGAATGTCGTCGCAAGCAATATGCTAATGAACGGCCACGAACTTGAGCTTCGGTTTGAACTTCACTTGGAGCGATTGCTGGAACGGGTGTTTATCTATCGGAAATTCTTTCTATTGCCAGTTCCCTGAAGCCATTTGCCTGTGACTGTGCCTGTGTGTATGAACAGGTGACAGGCGAACGAACCGCTCCCCACCACCCACACATAAACCACCCAATCGAGCGGTTCAAGGTCGAGCAGCAGACTAAAACTATGGAAACATTAGGAGGTGTTATGAACAGACTTTGCTTTTAGGTTTTGTTATCCAGAAAGTGCTCGATAATGCTTATATTGGATTGACTTCAGAAGAGCTGCAGTTAAAACATACATCATTTTTACTGTCTCGCCGGGAAAAAATCGATACCCTTACGTGATATACTATATAGTTCAGTAGTTTACTGCGCACACTTTGTCACAGTATAGAAAATGACATGACTGGGACAGCCATTCAGGCATTCAGCCATTTTTGTTTGTCTAAATAATTAAAGGGCCCGCTCACCTTTCCCCCCCGTCTGCCATTAAATTGCAGTTGACAGTTGTGGAGAAGTTGAATTTACAGAGCTGCATTGGACATGCGGACATGTGTCGTGTTCCAGCCAAAAAAAATCAATATCCATATGTATTATTTAATTCCCGACCTGGGAATGCGAGCAATGCGTGGATGAGAGGTCGTATTATAGATACTATATAACTATTCACAGACACATGTCGGCAATAATCAATGCAAATCACCAGGTGAGTCAATCAATTTTTACATACCGACGAAGAAATATAGTTGGAAATTTGATAAGTACGGCAGTACTTAGTCATAACTATTAATTTGTCTGGTATTATTATTCAAGGCTTAAAGTATGATAAATTGGAATTTAATAAAAGAGCAAACTGAACTTTATTTTTTTTGTTTTTTAGTTAAATATTTGTATAGCATAAATAAACAAGCACATGTCTTTTGTTAAACTCTTCGAAGCTTTTGAGAATGGAAAAAAGAATAAATGCTTTACAGATAGCAACAAAGTAATTATTTTATTTATTGCCTACACTTTGCCAAATCAGATAGTAAGAAAATTTATATGGGAACATGAAAGTATTCCATTAGAAATGGTTTACAGCCAACACTTAAAAAAAAAACCTCAAAATACCGGCTCGAATATTTAATTACAACTTTCTATAAATAAATCACTATGGGTAAGTATTTTTTGAATAAAATATCATCATTCACTTGAATAATCTTTGGAATGGATAAACCAAGTAATTTACTATAGATCTTAGAAATATATTGCGTTAAGATATTGGTTTTAAACTTTTTTAATTAGATAGATTCTGAAACGGATAAATTGTTTTTAAGTTCTTAACAAGTATTATAAAATATAAAAAAAGCTATAAACTTATAGTGAACCCGCTACATTCATATCTGGCCTAATGGAATTTCCCACCTGTTAACTTTTTCATCACTTCGGGTAATACACAAACTGCTCGGATGACTCACCTCAATTTTGGTGGAATAGTCCTCGATGAGCTTCTCCTGCTGCTTGACCAGCTCCTCGTTCTTCTCCAGCAGGGCCTTGCCCAGTTCGGCGGCCAAAAGGATGTCCGACTCCTTCTGCTGCAGCTGGGCCCAGACATCTGGCTCCTGGTCGTGTCGACGGGCCTCCATGGCGCTGATGTAGTGCTCTAAATCAATCGAATCCCCAATTAGTGACGAGTGGTCGTGGTCGAGGTCGAGGTGCTCGAAGCCGGAGTCGTCCGGCCGGAGGAGCGATTGCCCGCCCCCACTCGATCCGAACGAGTGTTTGCCGAACTGACGTGGTCGCTTCGACTTGTTGCCACCGGAGGAGCTGCCGCTGCTGCTGCCACCGATGAAGTTGTTGCTGTTGCTGTTGCTGTTGCTTTTGTTGGTGGATATGGATGAGGCAATGGCAGCAGCGGTTATAGCATTCGCTAGCTTTGGTTTATGCATGATCGTTAGCGGGCAGGCTTTGGATTTATTTCAGGCGGGGTGTTTTGTTTTGCTTTTTGTGTTGTATTGTGTGTGTTGGTATGGTATTACATCTAACAACAACGAACCAAATTTACAGACATAACACACACATACACACACAGGCACACAGACACAATCGGTAAGTTAGGAGATGCAATTGGTTTTCAGTTTTAGGTTTTAGGTTTTAGATGCAGATTGGTTTTGGATTTAGTGTCGTAGGTTAGGTATTCATATCTCCCCGGTCTGGTCGAAGTATTAGCTTTAGCTGGCGCGGCGATACGATGATATATCCGAGCATAGTTCCATGGGCCACCAGCTGCCCCCAAAAAGAGCAGCAGGGTTAAAGCGACTGATGATGGTTCGAGCTGCAGTTTGATTTCGGTTAGATAAACAGTGAGTACATGGCCGTAATGAGAATTAGCATTTAATGTAGGGTATATATTCGCAACCAGAGGGGTCTAATCATCAACCAAAAGGAGCGTCGGTCACGTTGAACATTTGCCAGCACGTTTTTAGTTACTTGTTTCTTGGGTTTTTTTTTTCGGTTTTTAGTGGGGGGGATGACATATAACTACAGTGTTAAGCAAGAGGGTTAATATAAGCGGAATTCGCCTTTAGCCCGACTTTAGTTCGTATTTAGTTAAGCTCCATGCGGTTTGGGTATCAATAAGGGTTTAGGTTTCTCGAAGGTCTTGGGGTGTATTAGCATGAGTGAATATTTACAAAATGTTGGGGAATTCCTACTACTCAGGGGTAGTGTTTATAGGTTGCAATTCCTTCAGGTGATTAAATAAATTAATTAGCTATCCAATGTAACCAAGACCTTGTTAATGGTTTTACAGGAAATCCATTGGTTAAATGGTAATTAGCAAGCTAGCTTAATTTGGATGGATCCAATGAGTTAGTAGATGGCTCTTATTTTGTTTTGGATTACCCAACTATATACATTAGAAGTTAAATGCTATTCAAAGCTTCTTCGGCGAACTAAACACGTCAATAAAGCAACATCGTTTAGGCTAAGGTCTCTCACAATTCACAAATTTCAGTTCAAATTTCGGCTTAAACATACATCTGAATTTTATATATCTGTTTATTTGTTCAGCATTTGTTATATATAAAATTCATTTGGCAAGCACTTCACGCTTAGCTGCTTTTGGTAGCAACAGCAACTGTTGTTAAAATATATAATTCGTTTCGGGCTTAGCTTTTGGCCAACTTTATTTATTTATTTATGTACTTTTTGCGTTTATCTTATAATATTCGGTTTTGTTTTTTTTGGGAAGCAACACAAACACAGTTCACAAACACAGAGCCCAGTTGATGGTGTTATTGTTTTGCATTTCCGCTTTATATATGTCGGTTTTGGCCAGAGTTTGGCATTATTATTGACAAAACAACAAAAATAAACGCGCGCCTTGCATGGGATATATTGGTCTAATTAATTCCCCGAAAAACGGAAAGTATCCAAGTATCCATTAGATACTTTCCACTTTCGCAAACGCGCTAGAGTCTGGCCCTATATTTGTGTTAAACATATATTTATATATATATAAATAGTATATATATATGTATGGTTAGTTATCCGTATATGTATGAGGGCAGAAACCTCGGTCACGACGACGCTGCTCCACTCCAAAGCAGAACTTCCGATGTCCGATTCTCCGATTCTCCGCTTTTCGGATTCTCCGATTCTCCGATGCCGTTTAAAACGCGCGCTCGCTTCGCTTCGGTTACGATTTTCTGGCTTTCCCCAGCTTTTTCACAATGGGGGCGACGCGGGGGCGTGGCGGATACGTCTGACTGGCACGAACGCTCGTTACTAACTGAATAACTGAAGCGCGGTGCTACGAAAATTGGCAAAACAAATGAGTAACCAAGCGACGACCGAGTGGCTAAGCCTCGTATCTTGGCAACAACCACCAACAACGAACGGGTGCTCTCTTAGTTTTCGGCCCAAAAGAGAGTTGCGGGAGTCCCAGCAGGGTAGTCGAGTAATCACTAGATAAGATTACTTCAGTGGAGTAATATTATTGGTTTCAAGGCAACCAGATAGCAAGGCGATATAAAAGTGCAATGTGGGTGGTAAAGATAACAGTTGTTTAATGATCTGTTCAAAAAGTCTGACTAGTGTTATCGTCTTAAAGTATGGTATCTTAATATAGTTAATCACAACTGTATAATTTTCTCTTCAAACTAATAATGGAACCAACATAAATAAAAGCTTTACAAGTTTAAGTTAGTTAGTTTTCAGTTGAAAATAGGTATTTTTTTCTCTACATTTGGCAACCCTGGTTAAACAATAACACAGCTCCAAAGGTGAGCTCCAATTGGAGCTCTCTTGCTGCAACTTCCCTTTTAACTGGCATATGTTTGATGCGGCCTCGCAGTCGCTTTCTCTTAGCCAACATATGCTTTGTTTGCTCTCCCCTCTCTTGGCTGCTCTTCTCCGTTTGTTTTGCATTGAGACTGGCTTACGAAAGCGGCCAAGTGAACAACAACGAAACGGAGTGACGCCTCGCATAGAAAGGGGCTAAGGGGGTTGGGGGGTTACTGGGTGGTGAGAGGGGGGCCAAGAGGGCCAGAGACCTGGACCTCCAAAAACCGCGACGTGCATACACACATGAACCTAAATGTACATATCTCAATGCAAAATTTACATACGGCAAGAACACAAACAATGGGCAACCAAGAATGGCAATAACAATGGATGTACACTTTAAAAATGTAAATTTATAATTTACTCATATGAGTAAGAATGATGATTTTGTGGTATTTATATATTTATAACGTAATAAAATTTTAAGTAGTTTTAAAACATGACTAACTGACTTTTAAGTTATTCATTTCCATATTTCCATAAATTCTCCTTGGAATTTTCCTAAATCCGATTTTTCCGGTGTACGAAGTAAGAAATATTTTTGAAGGGGGATATAGACATGGTCAGACCGTCGAGCGTCTAGTGCGTGGTACTAAACCAAATCAGAGTCTTGGCAGCCCAGCTCCATTTCCTCCGCTCCGCTCGGCAGACAACATGCACAATGAGAAACTCAAGTGGCCGGGCCAAGTGAAGATGAATATGATGAGCTTCAGACCGACGCCAGACCGACCATTGTTCTTGGTGGCCACCTCCATCCACTCCATGTCCACCTCCCCATTTCCATCTCCGCCTTGAAGACTGTCCATAATGCTGATGTTGCGTGGCCTCTTGTTTATGTTGGCCACTGTATGGGCTACCGTTTGGCCATTTACCAAATTGTGCTTTCGGCTGGTGGCCTAACCAGGCGTAAATAACTTTTTGTGTCTTACCTGATTTTCCTGACCACTAGTGAAACTTCCGTGCTTCCGCCGCAGATCAATCTATGGTTTTTGCTACCTTTTCCTAATGAGGAAGAGTTATTGGTTGGGGTCTTCCTTGAACATTTGTGGGGCATCTGCATGGAATTCTTCAGAGCTTCGTTCATCTCCGGTTTCCACTCGCCAGTTCTTCAGTTGGGTGTTCACCTGCAGTCGAGTGTTCTTGAGCTGCTTTATTGTCTTACACTCTCGCTCTTGTTGGGGACCCGGCTCCAAGCATCCATTCATCCATCTAGGGGTACCATACCATACCATACCAATCCGTACTGCGGCACAGCATTCCCCACCTAAACTGGTTTCGGATTTGCTCTTGCTCTGCATTGTATCGCTGTTTTTGCTTTAATTATTTCTGTTGGTTTTTGCTCTGCCCTTATGGGAGGTTGATTAACTTTTTTGACATCCTGGTGTCATTTCTTTAAAGTAGAGTTGAAAGAACAAAGAATAACAGCTGAACATAAACCTTTTTTCACTTGTTAAAGTTGTAATATAGGTTTCCTGTATTAAGTTCATAATTATGTCCTCTTGACGAATGTTTACAGTTTTGAGAAAAGAATTGATGATGGTAACTTAAAAACGCAGCTTCTACTTTATTAACTAACTGAAAACTTATTTATACTAAGTTTATCTTTGAGGCAATAAAATAATAATTTCATTTTGAAACCAATAAAATTCTTGTATCTCAGGGTATACCACATTCCTCATTAACAACAATTTGGTGCACACATACATCAAGTTTTAAATATGTACAATAATTATGCTGTTTTTAACGCTCGGCATGAGTCAACGGCAACAAGTTGGGGCATTACCGGGCGCTTTCTGGTCAAAAGTTTTGGTTTCTGCGGCCACAAAAGAACTGGAAGTGGAAGTGGAACTGAATATGGAAATGGAAATGGAGAAGAATAGTTACGATACCAGATATGTGTGTCAGTGACAATATTAAACTGGTGACTTCGTGAAGGATCTGTCACTTTGGCGGTCGCTGCAACCAGAGCAAGAAGTCCGGCTTTGTGCCGCCTGTTGCGCTCAGGTGCTCGCCATATTTTTATGGGCCCAAAAGGTAAACAACAACAACAAAAGTAAGCAACCGTATTACAAAACACAGTGCGGGCCATAAACGAAAAGGCAGGCGAACAAACTACCGTAAAAAGGTCAGCCACTGGCCAAGAGCTGGGCGTGAGAATGGCTTTTTGGCCCGAAGAGGTCCGGAACCAAGGCGACACACATCAGAAGCCGCTCCATAAATGTACAGCAATCAGATCGCTGGGGACTTATTACAATTCTTTTTTTAGTAAGAAAAGTCTAGTTGTTATTATCTTTGTGAGTTGCATTACAATTCTGGTGTTTCTTTCATTTCATTCTTTCTTGACCATTTTCAAAAATAAAAGTCCGAAAAAAAAATGTACAAAATTAAGAAATGTACATGTTGGCAAATCAAAGAAAATTATCATATAGAATATGCACTGTATCCCGATATTCAAAAAAGTAAACGAAAAGTAAATATCACTCTGTTCCCAGGAGTTATGTTTAAAGCTCGTGTTTCTATTTTTGTAGAAATTTTGGGCATATAAAAAAATATACAATATCATTGTGTTTAAGAAGGTTTAGTAAAATTTAGACTTTAAATAGTTGTAAAAAGAAATAGTTTGCTGTATAATAAAACAGTTTTGACAATAGAATCGCTTGTTTTTTTTTAAATTATTTTAATAACCATAATTATATTAAATAAATATATAAGGCAGAGGCTTTTTTGTTGGTTTACTCATTTAAGGTAAAATAACCTTATACAAAAACCTTTTAGGAATATTGAGTCTACAATCACAATTTGTGTTTTTGAAAATGAAAAGTTTGCCATTAGTGATTACCCCAGAGAAGAGCGCGGTTTGAGAGGTCAAGCCACAGAATGGGGTCAAAAGAAGCAGCAATTTCTGGTCCGGTCAGTCAAAAGGGCAGTGGCAATTCCAAGGAAAAACCCAGAAAATGAAAATTATTTTCAATTTACATTTCAAGTAGAAGGGGTTGATGAATGGTCGCGGGGGCGGGTAAAGAGGAGGGCTATTTTGGCCATCATGGTTTATGGCCAGGTCTAATGTAATAGTTTCTTGCTATTGCAGCTGTTGTTGTCATTGCTCGTGTTTTTTGTTGTTGCCTTTTGCTGTTGTTGGGCAAGCGAACGGAAATGAGCTTAAAAAGAGAGTGGGTGAAGAGAGCCGGAACTAAGAGAGCGATTGGATTGCAAGTGGAGTGCATGTGGATCGCATGTTTGTTTATGGTTCTTTGCTTGGCTTAAACGTCTTCCAGTTGGATCTAGAAAAGTTAAGTGGGCCTGGCTAAATTGTGATTAAATTAAATTACAGAAATTAGCTTAAATGATCTGAAATGAGAACGTCATTTTGTTTGAGAAGGGAATTTGAATATTTATAAAGGGATGGGAATATCTGAGTATTTATTCATAATTTAATAGTACTAGGCTGAAATAAAGATATGCAAACAGATTTGTTTTACTTATGTATTTTTAATTTCTGGATCTAAGCGAGGAAAATATATTAAAATATTTTAATGTACATTACAATTTTCTTTATTTCGCTAAAAGCATTATTATAACTTTCAATTGTTTCAATATTCCCCCATTAAAAGACACATTTATTTTAAGTTATACAACATCAGCAAAATATATTTACTTTATATATATAATATATTTATTATTCTCATTTATGCAAATTAGATTTGTTTCTCTGGTTTAGTTTAGTGGTGTCTTTCACATATGTAGTTCGCCCCTGCCATTGACTTCATAGATAATACCGGTATTAGTTCGCTTGAGTTTAGTTTCAGAACAGGCATTTTGGAGTTAAACACAAAGTTAGTATTACAATAGGTATATAATCTTTATAATCTTTATACAAAAAACATAAATTAAGTGTAGAATTATAATTTCTCAGTTGCTCTTTGTTTAGCTATCATGTTTTAGGTCTCATCACAGGAGCAGGGAGTCTTGAGGAGTTGTGTTATTTGTTTATTTTTTGGGGTTCTTGGGGGGAAGCTGCTTGTGCGAGGGAAAATAAACCCCCGAATACGAAATCCGAAATTGTGCTAGCAGTAGAAATAAAATTATATTCTATTCAGATTGCCCCTGGCCCCGATCCCATTGCCATGATACACATCTTTATCTCCTCAGATCTGCAGCACTCTCTTCACATCGACGGTGGGAAAGGAGGCGAATTGTCCGTGAGCAGCGCGATGTGGCTTCCGCTGCAGATACTCCGCCAGGATGTCGGAAGCCAGCTGGGAGGCCTTCGAGCTGATCTCACCCTTCAGTGGGACAGGCTGATTGCGTCTCTGCAAAGCCACCGTGTCGATGCGCGTTCCGGCATTAACCGAGTCCTGCGAGCGCACCTGCAACAGGGATAACACCCAAGCGTGCTTCATCCGGGTCAGTTCGGATTCCAAGGCGGTGATTCGCTGATCCTGCGGCTGCGGCACATGCAGTGGTTCAAACTGCGACAGTTTGGCTCGCATATCCTGCGCCTGCAGACGCAGTCGCTCGTTGCGCTCCTGGTTGAAGGCGTTCTTCAGGAGCTCCACCTCCTCGGCCACCACAGGTGCTGTTCCCGCTGGCGCAGAGTAGGAGACATTAGATATTCCCGTGGTACCGGACGTATTGCCAGCGCCGGAAAGATTGTGCGGGGAGTGTGAGTCCGAGACGGATGGCACTTTTCCTGTGCTCGTGTTCATCTTCAGCTTGTCGCGCAGATCGCTCTTCTCGCTCTCCAAAGCATCGATGTCGTTCTGCAGATGGTCCATCGTCTCCTCGAACTCCTTCTCCTTGAGCTGCAGCTGCTGGCGCGTCTCCTCGTACTGCTGCTTCCACTTGTCCACCGCGTGCTCGTACTCGTTCTGCAGCACACTCAGTTTCTTCTCTGCCAGATCCTTGCGGATCTGCATCTCGCTCAGCTCGTTCTGCTTCATCTTGGCGGCCAGCTTCAGCTGCTTGACGTCCGCCTCGCGATTCTCCAAAGTGGCGGCCAGCACATTCTTTTGCTCCAGCTGCTTCTTGATCAACTGCGCCCGCTGAGTGATCGGCGTGCTGTGGGCACCCGACTTCTGTTGACCACCAGCATTGTTGGCAGCCGAAATGATCTCGTACTCCTTGTCCAGCAAATGCTGGGCAATGTGCTGCAGATCCGAGTTGGCTTGTGCCAGCAGTGTCTTAAAGTTGTGCGTTGGTCCACGGTCATCCTGCTCGTAGATGCGTTCGCAGGAGGCGGAAAGCAATGCCCAGTACTTCTCCTGGGGCAACGTATGCTCCGCTGCATTGTCGCTCTCAATTGTGGCCACAATAGCCGCCAGGGATTGCTTGGTGGCCTGGTGCATGGCCGACATGATGCGACTGATATTCTGCGCCAAAGCACGCATCGCTTCCACTCTGTGCTGCGAGAGGCCGCTCTTGATGATATGCTGATCGCTGGGCAGGCGACGCTTGATCAGCTTCACCTGCTGGCGCACGCTCTCGATGTTCTCGTTGAGGAACTGAATCAGCAGCACCGAGTCGCTGGTGGCGCCCGCCTCCTGGATAATCACCTTGGCAATGGCCGTGTCGCTGAGAATGCTCTCACAAGCAGCGCCCAAGGAGGCCACGCAGTCCCGGATCATCTGGATCTCGTTCAAAAGCTGCTCCCCGGCAAGCAACACAGAGTTCATGGCATTGAAGAAGGCCACGCACTTCTCAATGTTATCCGTGGTGCTGTTCTCATCCAGTTGGTTCGATTTCAACAGTTCAATGATGCCATCAACTATCTTTTCCTGAGCCACCATTTCGGGCAGGGAGCTGCCGGCTCGCAGGAGCGTGTCCGGTTGGCAGCTGTTCAATCCATAGAGGATCTGGTGCAGGGCGCATTGCAGACTGTGGACGTAGTGCAGCAGGCGGCACTTGAAGGCGTACTGCTGGACGGCATGGCCCTGGGTCACCGCCTCCCTGGTTATCGCCTCCACGGCTGGGAAACGCTCTCTGGTCTGCGAAACCACAATGCCGCACTTGAAGACAATCCGTGAAATGAGCAGAACCACCAGAATGGAGTCGTGATCGCCGCCGCGACTCATAAACGATTCCGGCATGAAGGCGGTCAGCATTTGGACATGTTCGTTGGCTTGACTTAATTCGATCTGGCGCAGCTGAACGTCAATGGCTCGGGTGTAGGCCTTGGACTCGGCGAACATCTGCTTGTAGTCAATGGTTTCGGTGGCCAGTTTCAAGCTGGGATCCTGCAGCGACTCCTTTTCGTTGCTGGAGCTGCGATCTCTTAAATCGGTTAGTTGGTCGTTTAGCTTTTGCACCAGTTCCCTGAACTTGGTGATGGTCTGGTCGCGGTCGTAGATTGTCTCGATGGCTGCATCTCGCTCCCGCAGCACCTCCTTCTTGGCCGCGTTGGCCAAGTCCAGTTCCTCGCGCAGATCCAACTCCAGTTCGTGATTGCTTTCCACCAGCTGTTCGTGCACCTCCTCCAAAGCCTCCAACTGTGCGATTTCCTCTTCCAGAAGCTTTACTTTATCCTCCAGTTCCATTTTCTTTTCAGCCAGCTGTTCCACCATTTCTTCAGCTCCAAGTGCAGCATCGACTTGTTCCTGGGACGAAACAAGTGTATTTATTGTGTTCGTTTTAAAAGGTAATTTAAAGACCAAAAGGGATATGTTACGAATTTTGTTTTGGGATAATGTTTGTTTAAATATATACACAATTTACCTCCTTGGACCCCGTTAATTATTAAGTTTTAAGGCAGGCCGGCAAAAAGAAATGCAATGGAAAAATGTTATCTTAGATTCACCCTGCGCAAAATATATGGCATTCGTAAACATATTAAATCGGTTAAAAGTAGCTTACAATTTAAATCCAAGTTAAGTTTTGTTGTAAAACCACTTTTAACCGATAAGTTATTTAAAGTTAACAGCGAAAAGCAGCCGATCTACGAAAGCGAAACTGAGGCAAGCCGATAGGTGCAAAAAAAAGGCGTGAAATTTAATCGGAGTGGAGAGTGGGATAACCAATTGAAGGCGGTTGGTGAACAAGAAGTAAATTCTACTCCATAAATGCTCACCTGCAAGTCGGCCACTGTTGCTTCCAACTCATCGATCTTGGCGCTCAGCTTCTCCTTGGTGCGTTCCAATTCCGCAACCTCCGATCGCTTCATCTCCAACTCCTTGCTCAACTTCTGGATGTCGTGCTTATCGTGGGCAGAAAGATCCCTCAGACGCACCAGTGTTTCTTTCAGACGAATGTTCTGCTGCTCCAGCTGCTTGAATTCATAGGTGGAGAGTCCGGGTGAATCGCCATCACCGGAAATACTGCCGATGGCGGACTCGGCTTTGTTTTGCATTTCGGAACGCAACAGATCCAGATCCACTTGCAGCTCTTCAATGCGCTCTTTGGAGGACTCCAGCTCCAGCTGCAGCGTGTCGGCCTTTTCTTCGGCCATCTCCTTATCCAGGGTGATCATCTCAACGTTGTCCGCCAAGTCAGCCATTTCCTGGGCATGCTGCTCCTTCGCCTCAATCGCATCCTTGGCTTCCTGCTTGGCCCGCTGTAGCTCCTTCTGCAGCGAAGCCTGCGCAGCCATGATCTTTGTGCGAAACTCCTGCAGCTGCTCGAACTGAATCTTCATCTTGTCGAATTCCCGCAGCCTTTCCTTGTCCTCGTTTCGGCGCTGCTTCAGGGTTTCCAGCTTCTCGGTGAGATCGGCCAGCTGGGCCTGCAGCTCGGCGCTCGTTTTCTGCGCCTCCAAGAGGGCCGTCTTATCATCGGAATTGGAGGGCATGGTGAACGAAGGCGAGCGTAGTGGCTGCGATGGGGTAAACTGCGGCTTTAGAATCTCCAGGAATCCCGTCTCAACGAAGGAAGCCCTTTTGGACGAGGCATGCGAACCGGCTCCGTTGCCACCGCCTGCTGCTGGAGCTCCCTCCGCCAAGGAAGCTGTGGAGGCGTCCTTATCCTTGCTACTTTGCGGGGCCAGGGATTTCCGAGGACCGATGCTGCTGCTCGAGGCAGTGCGTTCACTCAGCGAGGCCGTCAACTGGGTGCGAGAACCCAACAGCGATTGGCGACTGGAGGAGAGCGAGGTGCGAGAGGTGCTCAGCCGCGCCTTTGTGGGTTGGGCCGTCGTGGGAGTGGCGCCGCTAACGTCCTCGATGCTGCGCCTGCTGCCAGTGGAGGCGCCACCGCTACCAGGTGCCGGCTCCAATAGACGCAACTGCGTGGGACGGACAAACATGCCGCAGTTTTCCTCGCACTCGAAATACTGCTGGCCCTTGATGGAGCCGCTGTTCTTGCCCTTCGGCTCGTCCAGCACGACGCCCACCCACTTGCCGACGGCGAAGCCTGTCATGCCCACGTAGGCCACCGTGCCGAGCAGATCCTTGCCGGTCAGCTCGACGCGGGCGCCCACTTTCAGGTTCTTCTCGGACATCTCGCTCTCGGTGGGTGTCTGAGTGTGTGTGTGCGTGTTTGTGACCAAGATGTGGGTTGATCTGGATGGTTATGAATGCTGTTCGATGGGAATGGGGCTCTGATTAGCGAGCGGCTCTGGGAATGGATTACAAACCAACTCACTGCGCTGCTCTTGCACTTCTTTTGGCCAACAGTCACGTCTTGGCCGTCTTAGCTAGCAAAAAATGGCCGTCGGCTTGCGGAGAAAACAGAAAATGTTGACATCATTAGTCACCCATACAGACAGCGCAGCTTTACTCCTAGCTACCTGTTCTGAATGCTTAAAATTGTGGGCACCCACCTGCTTTTCCAATCGGACAGGTGTTCCTTTCTTTGTCTCCGCCGCCACGATTACCATTTGCGCTGTATTTTCGTTGCAGGGGCTTTAAATTGCAATGAAGGCTTTTTCCTAAAATATTTGCAATGTTTTCAGTGTGACCACGCGAAATAACTAGAGATGACAACGTCTTTTTAAGGTAATTAACAAAATATCGCAACTACAGCTGTGAAATCTTACAAATATATAAAATTTATATATTTGGTGATATAGATTTTAATTTTAATTTGAATTATTTATTAAATTTGAATTAAATAAATAGTTGAAATACGTATTTGACCTATAGTAGCTCTTGGAAAGAATATCGCTACTTATATCGAGTAGAAGTCACTCCATTTTATTTAACTGTGACTCACAGGTGGTCAGTCCAGTCAGCTGTTGTTTGTTAATTTTAATGGTGTGTAGACACTGGTTTACAAGCCAAACAAACAGTTTCGCAAATTAATGGAATAGATTAAAATGGACGAGGAAGAGCATCTTCATCGGTTTGGAACGCCACTGCCGAAACTAGAAAAGGGTAGCTAAAACAAGAAATCAATCGCAGTCTTTGGTAAACCTTTTACCCCTTCAACAGATGTAGTGCCGGCAAAAAAAGCCTGTGGCCATCGAGGATCAAATTGTGAAGGATGAAAATGGAAAGCGGAGGTTCCATGGCGCCTTCACCGGTGGCTTCAGTGCTGGATTCTGGAACACCGTTGGTTCTCTGGAGGGCTGGACGCCGCAGACGTTCAAGAGCTCGCGGGCCGAGAAGGCTACGCCGAGGGTGCAGGCAAGACCAGAGGACTTTATGGACAATGAGGATCTGGGCGAGTTTGGCATCGCTCCGCAAGGAATTCGCACACGAGATGAGTTCGCCAAGGAGGACGAGCAGGAGCAACGTTCCGGACAGCGTCGACGCAAGTTGATGCAGCCAGACGTGGCAGTAGGACCCATACCAGGAGTTCCTGTACTGGAGCAACTTTTACGTCCAGTTCGTGATAAAGTAGCCGTACGGATCCTCAAGAGCATGGGTTGGAAACCCGGTCAAGGAGTGGGTCCGCGGCAAACAAAAAAGGAAAAGCGCCAGGCCACCGCAAGAAACACTAGAGAGCAGTATCTTCTGGAGCATTACGGCGCAGAGGGATTACCTTCCCAATCAGAGTCAAAAGGAGAGTCTAGCAATGATGAGGATGAGGATGACGAAGATATCACTTTTGCTCCGGACGACTATGAGCCCATGTTCTTTACGCCCAAGGAGAATCGCTTTGGCATGAGTTATTCGGGCCTAAGTCGCGATCCCATCCTGTCCAAATCCTCCTCTAGTTCTGCCAAGCCCATGCAGCACATCAATCTCTTTGGTCAGTTGGAAGCGCAGGCTAACAAAAAAACGCTTTCCATACGGGGTCAAGCTTTTGGAGTGGGAGCATTTGAAGAAGAGGATGAGGACATTTACGCCCGCGATGATATGACCCGCTACGATTTCTCCTTGGCGGACAAGAAACCCAAGCAAAAGAAGCAGCAGCATGTCCAGCAGCGCCACGTCATCGATGGTTTCAGCGAGGACAAAACGGGAGCGGCTCTACAGAAACCGTATGCTATTGATTTGCCCAGGGATTTTGAGCCGAGGAACTGGTTGCAGCGAAAAAGCCGTTTTGCTCCCATAGATAAAGAGCGAGCCAAAAAACTGGAGACAGTCACGGAGTACAAACGCTCTGGTCTTGGCAGGCACGATCTTAATCCTGACCAGCGAGCGCAGCTCTTGGGAGAGCAGAAAAAGGAAGAACCCCCAAAGGAAGAGCCGCCCAAGCGAAATCCCTTTAAGGATAGTGGCAAATCTCTGCTGGAACGGATCAATGCCAGGACTGAAGGATTCACCAAGGGTGGAATAATCACCGAAAAAGGCGAAGAGCAGCAAACAGAACTGACTAAGGAGGTTAAGGAAACTAATGCCGCCATACAAGAGAAAGCGGCACTCAAGACAAAAGATTTGGGTAAGCAACCATTCAATTAATGAAATTAAATCATAATTCAAACCTATTTGTTTTTTTAGTTCCCGCAACTTCATCTTCAGGCGCTTTTAAGCCTTTTTTGGCTGATGAAGCTAAGCAGCTGCGCTATGAAAAATTCGTGGCCTCTAAACTTACAGATGACACGGAGATAACCGAATTTTTGGCCAATATGCAACCAGTCTCACTTTCGCTTTGGGATCGCGAGATGGAGAAGAAGGAGTTCATCCAAGCGGCAAAGATATATCGTCCATTGGATGGTCTTATGAACGACAGATTCGTTTCGGAAGCCAATGTACAGGCGGAGAAAGTCAAGGAGCAAGAAAAGTCGGCGGAGGAGCGAAAGATCGTAATGGAACGAACCAAGACCATGTGGAAACCTGCCTCACTGCTGTGCAAGCGATACAATATTGCAGAACCCTTTGGTGGTGCCATGCTAGAACCAGAAAAGGAGCTCAAGACCAAGCCGAAGATTTCGGTATTCGATTACTTGGAGACTTCTATAAACACGAAAGCAAACTTTCAGACTCCCACGATTATTCCCAAGCACATAGAAAAGCCAAAACCAAAGGAAGTAGAACCACCGTCTCTTTTTTCAAAGATTGCCTTGGCAGCTGTTGAGCCGGAGAAACCGCCTTCAAAAGAAGAGCCAGCCAAGTTTACTTTCGTGCCGAAAACTTCTTTGGAACAGGCTGTGGATGAATCCCGCGACAAACCCATTGCAGAAAAAATTGACCTTTTTAAGAGCATCTTCGAGGATAGCGACGAAGAGGAGGCAATCGAGGAACCGCCAGAAGTTTCAGCTGAGGATAAGTTAGCTGCTGTGCATGAGGCCTTAGGTTTGCCCTCAAAGTCAACTACTTCAGCCGCCACACAAAATGTGTTGAGAAACACTTCGCCTCCCAGAGGAATCTTTGCTGCCTTATTCAAACCCAAGGAAGGTGAGGCACCCAAGGAGCCAAATCCACCCAAGTTTGCTCCCATCGAGGGAAATAAGTTAAAAATTGCATACAAATCTCGGGAGGAGCGTCTCAAAAACGATAAGGAGCTGGCCATGGCTGAGGTGCCGCCCGAGGATATCTACGGACCAAAGCTGCCAAGTGCTGTTCCTCAAAAACCTGCAGCCACAGAAGATCACGCGGATGCCAATATCGATGCCAAGTTGCAACAGCTGTGGCAGAAGCATGCTCCTAAAAAGCGGAAAGCTGAAGTGTGGGTGGAAAAGAAGATCAACTCCGACAGTGAAGATAGCGATGATAGTTCCAGTGACGACTCCACATCCTCCGATTCTTCAGCGGGCAAGGTCAAGAAATCGAAACTCAGCAAACCCAAAAAGTCGCACAAGAGCTCCAGTTCAAAAAAGTCCAAGAAATCAAAACTTAAGTCAAAGAAAAAGTCTAAAAAGAGTGACAAATCTAAACACAAAACAAAGAAGAAGAAGAGCAAACACTGACTGTAAATACCAATTAATAAATATGGCTTTCTCTTTTTTCTTAAATCAATTGGAACGCTTAATGGCAGATTAAACAGTGGGATTGGGCAAATTAATAGTTTTTTCTTTTCTATCTGTCTTGGTTTAGTCAAAAGGCAAAGACAAAATCTGAAACGAAAGATTAATCTTCTAAAAATATATCGTATACTTAATATTGAAGGACGACGTTATAATTTAAAAGTATACTTTTGGGAGCATTTATAGGTGATTTTACTATCTATTATATAAAATTGAATGCTTGGAAAAAATATTTAATTATTTTATTACAGGTTAATCATAAACCAGAGGAGAATGTAGAGACTTATAGTAGATCCGACAATATTATAAAAAAGTTAATCTAAAAAAACCTTTTCTATCGTTCTAATACCGTTTACGATATTCACCAAATCATTTTACCATTGCTCTCAGGTGCTGTTCACCCAGGTAGATCGTTTGGTCAAAAAATCTGAGCTGCCGCGATCGGCTCAGTTTCACGATATCTGTCTCCGTGCTGCAGCTGCTCGCTCTCTCTCCCTCGTCTTTGTTAACTGCGAGCGGAGAGAGGCTCTTGGCCAGGCCAAGAAGACACGGGACCAGCTTCAGTTTTGAGTTCGGCGTGTGCTCCGCCAGTTGGGCTCACCTCAGTCGCAAAGTACGTGTAACCAAAGATAGACGAGTCCGAGTTCCGATCCCAGTTGTCCCAAAAGCCGCGAGCAACAACAAAATAGAGATATAGCCATCATATCGCTGGCGGATTGCGGATGCGGATAGGGGGTCGCGGATGCGGAGCGTGGCTCGTAATGTCTGCCAAAGCGTAACGAAAATTTCCAGTGCTCAAGACAACAACAACAACAACAACATCGTATCATTAATGGCATTTTCAGTTTCGAGTTTGTGTGTGAAAAAAGTGCACAAAAGTGGTAACAACAAAAATGATCAAGCAGCATGAAAATCTAAAAGGTATACAATGAAATCCCTGCCTTTTTTGCTAATCGAAAATACCTGATCGAATAATTATAATTACAATAATGGCTCGAATTACTCGAAAATATAAATGTAAAAATTAAACAAAAAATACGAATGTATATACAGTGAAAAATTGGCATTTACACACCTGCAACATTTGTTTGCTTTTGTGTTTGTGTCTACCTAGACGCTTGCAAATGTGTGTGTACATAAATGTATTGCCGCGAGTGTGTGTGTTTGCCGTTGCATAGCTGTAAACCAGTTGCCAATTGCAACGTGTTTTTTGAGTTGTTGGCCCAAGAGATAGCAAGCAAAAAAAAAAATATAAAATATAACTAGAAAATTGTGAAGTTGACAGGGAAAAATCAATGGAAGTTACAATTAGTATAAAGTGTAAAATTGGCTCAAATGTCCGGAAAAGGATATATGCCTAATAACCAAATAAAGTAATTGTCGGAACAAGAATGAAATCAGAAATCATGGTTTTATAGTGGAATTTACCACTACCCCAGCGACATAATAAAGTTTAGCAACATGACAAAATCATCTGAAGATAAATTGATATCAAAAGCTACCATTTTATAGAACTGCTTGCGTGTTACCGCCGAAAAACACGTTCGAAACGAGTGTTAAGTGACAAAGAAGAAATCACAGAAATAGAATTGAACAAAAATAGGAAAAAAATCTACAAATTAAAAAGGCTTAACTCGTCTACGTTTTCGCCTTTTTTTGGCTAATAAAGCAATTTGATATCGTAAAGAAACAACACTGAGAACTACAACAGAGTGAGATCATGATTGCAATCGCAAATGAGTGAGAGGGAGAGCAAATGAGAGGAACAGAGAAGCAGAAAGAAAGAGAGTGGGAGAGAGTTCATTTAGTTTAAGCCAGGCCAAAAAATGTATGGCAACGAAAACAGAAATCAACCAATTCAGAATTTCCATTTGTCAATAACGCCCGGCAACAACAACAAACACAAGTAGCCCATATATTACTGAGACTGGAACATATATAAATAATTTTATATCGTTTATGGATTCAAGCTCAGCTGTGTGGAGGTGTAAGAAACAAAAAAAGCGAGACGAAAAAATAAAAAACAGGCACCAATTTCGCAAAAAGCTCGCCGAGCTGACAGAACAGAAAAATTGGAAGGGAGAGAGAGCAAGAGCGAAACGCTGACGTCGGGCGGCTTGTTTTAATTTTTGTTTTAAATTTAAATTGCTAATGAATTGCTGATGTCTTATAGTTTTAAGAACTAACTAAGGGGAGATCGGCGGGCATAGGAACGGCTATAAAGTGGGATCCGCAACTTATAATTAAGAGCTCAGCTTCGGATAAAACTGCACAGAAAAAAATGACATTGTTATTGATCCGTGCTTTTAATGAATTTCTGATCCCAAATTTATTCGCTTTAAAAAAAGTGACTACATAACCTTTTTAATATTATATACTTTTTTTTAGATAAGTAACTGAGCAAAAATTATTTCTTTCTGTGCATCTCATCTTCTTATTGTTGTTATGGGGCTTTGAGAAGGGTCACTCACAGCTCAAGGTAATCAAGGTTGATGATTGTTCAAGTTTTGTTTGGGTTTGACCAAACAGACTTGCCCCTAATGACACCGAAATGTGAATCTCTTGCTCTCTTTTAACAAAGTTATATTCAGTTTTTAATTGAGCATATTAATGTGCGTCCCAAATACACTTAATGCTTAAGAATAATGACATTTTATTTTAAAGTTATAAAATGTTCTCTGGCACCTGATATTTTAGAAGATTTTGTAAACAAATTCGGGTCCAACTTAACTTACGATATTCAGTAGAATATTATTTTGCCTTTTTTCACCTAAACTCCAAGAAACCAAAAACATCTGATCGGTTGCACTCTCTAAATTGAATTCTCTCCCAGATTCTCAATCTTTCTCCAATTCTCCCCGTGCCTTTGGCAAGCCCTAAAACGTTGACGATATTCGTCTACCTGTTCTTCATTTGTTTTGTTTTGTTTTCTTTGCCCAGGTATTGTCTGACCAAACATTTTCCGCATTTTTTCATGTGTGTCCGTGAGCCAGCTATTCAGAACACATAGCATGCCGCGATCGAGTGCGAACAGGTAGAAAAGCATAATCTAGCAAAAACAACGGCTATACTGAAAAAACTTTCATTAATGCTTTTGTTCTGCGTTAGCTAAATATTTCGAGACGAGCCGCTATCTTTTGCCACACTCTTCCCCCCCAGAAAAAAGGGGTAACTGCGATTACGAGTCGTAAAAAAGAAATCCATCATTAGGTGCTGTCAACTTCGTTGCGATGGGGATTGGCACTGTGGGGTGTGGAGTACTTTTCCCAGAGTAATCATTATTTGAATTTGTTTCTAGGCAGTACATTTTTGTAATCGTAGAGTCTTAGTAGAATTCTAGAGCATCCAAAAAATAAAAAAAAAATTTAGAAGTGACAGGAATCTTGAGGCAATGAGATAAGATAATGAACTATCTTAATAAAGTTTTTAGAGAAAAACCAACAGAACAGACCAATAATAACAATAGGCATAGTTTAATCTTAATTTGAATATCATTTCTTTTGAATAGGATTTTTAGTTAGGCTTTTAAAAGTAATACAATTTGCTTCACCGCTATTTGAGCTAGCGATCCCACTGTGCATGTGTGGCGAATATCGTAAATCAGTTGCGCGCCACGTTCAAACCGCATTCGTTTTGAGCGCGTTAGTTGTTGCTGGGCGGTTGCTGGCGCTTGGTCTCCGCGGTCTTGGCTTCTAAGCCTCTGGAATGCCAACAATGTGTGTGCGTTCGGTTTTGGTTCATTTTTTTTTATTGACCGTTTCATTTACGGGCTGCTGCTGCCACTGTCGTACTTTCCATTGAGCTGAAATGGTTTTCACCCGAATGTTTTGTCGCTTTCTTGCAGTTGGCTAACGAAATGGAAAAGAAAACTTGAAATTTGTGTCGATACGATTGCAAGTTTGGTCGCGTATCTTGCAGATACATCCGCTTGTCCAAGTGAATTGCACAACCCAAAGAGCAATAAATAAGTAAACGCGTTACACGTGTCCGCAAAAGTGTCTGTGCTCGAGTCTTTGTTCGTCGTTAGCTGTGCCAAGCCAAAATGCCCGTATCCGACAGATACCAGTCATCATCATCATTATCTTCATCGCAACCATCGGCAATTGCATCGCACCAGATTTTGAGCAGCACGCACCTTGAAGTAATTGCAGCATCTGGCCATCGTCAACGCGGCGGAAAATAATGAGTCAAAATGTGGCCGATAGTCTGGTGAGTAGCTAACCCATTATCTCTCTGCAGTACATGTACTGTCCTATATACTATATACTATATAGTAAGCGTAGAAAGTAACAGGGAAATGCATAGAAAGTCATTTTGAAAGTATCTCGCCGAGCGCCGAACTTTGTGTGGAAGCTTTTGCGCAAGACTGCTAATTATTTGGTCAAATATTTGGTAGACCAAATCGGCGTGAATCGAAAAATTATGGCCTTAATATTATATTTTGATTGAATGGATTAAATATAGCAAATCTGACTCATCAGATAACTAAGATAAATTTATGGTATTATATTTTTATAAATGTTTATTATATTCTCTATATTCTAATATTCTGTATTTTGCTTGGGAGTTTGTCACTCAAAATAAACTACATAAATACGAGACCCATAATTTAGGTTGAGCTTTTGTTCTGATTAAACAGTAAACAGTATTTGGCAATTCCTATGACACATTTCTAAATCATGCTTAAAATTTAAAATTTTTTTAAATTTATATTTGTGTCATCATTTTAAATTTCTAGTTTTTATTGATCGGTCAAAGGCATAAGGTCTTCTCGCTTTTAAAAATTTGTGTACATTTTTTTTTAGTTTTTCTCCAAACTTTTTGAAAACTTTCAATACGGGCTTAAGTTTGTCCGCGTATCTTGCAAATACATCCGCTTGTCGAATTGCACAACCCTCAATGAAATAAATAATTAAACGTGTTACATTTGTACGTTAAAGTGTGCGTATCCGCTAGCTGTGGTTTTTTCCTATCCAAAATGCCCGTATCCGATAGATACGAGATATTATTAACATTGCCACCATCGGCAATTACAGAGAGCTACATTCTAAGCAGCACGCACCAAGAAGTAATTGCAGCTTTTGATCACAAAAATATTTAATTAAATCTTTAAATACCTAAATGAAAGCCACCTTTACTTGATCTCTTAGCCTTATGCAATTATCGTTATCAGCATCCTCAAGTGCATAACAGATATCAGCTCCCTTTGTCTTGAAACTTGTTGCACTCGCTAATTGATCAATTGACGTGCTTCGGGGGACAATGTTTATCCAATGTCTACAGTCAAACAAACAAAACAAAAGACATCGTTTGATTGGTGCTTACGTAAATGCACGTTTTATTAATATTTCTCCTTATTGATTTCCCCGTCAACTTTCTTCAGTCGTTGCCAAATACCACAACACATTCAGGTATTTCCATTTCCATAATTATGTCATTCCAGTTCACATGTTTGGCCGGGTGGTCAAATGATAGCCCAAAAAGTCAAACAAAGCAAGTAGATAAATTATTTAAATTTTTCCTACGGCATTAATCAAAATTTTTAAAAGAAAACACTGCGAGTCTTAAAGTTTTAAGAGGCTCATAAATTCCGTTGATAAATGAGTGAAGATAATTACAACAAATGCTATTGTGGGGGTCAGTATGAAGTTGCCCCAAAAAATACTAAAATAAATACTCGTTGTTACCGAGGGAGAGTGGTGAGAGAGTTCTGATGAGAAATAAACAACCCAGGCAATTGCTCATCAGAAAAACATAAACAGAGCGGGAAAGGTCGGATCAAGTTAGAATAATAATACTAAGGTCTCCGACTATTAAATACCTTGTAGTTAAAAGAGCTTCCCAATTGGTGAGGCTTAACTATGTTAAGTCAATTATGTTAAAAACTTTATAATTTATAAAAAATTCATTATGAATTAATGGTTTTTGAAATTAATGAATTATTATTTAAGTTCCTTATAAGCTATATCTATCTATCTATATGATATAATCCTTACATTCGTGTTACAAACGTTAAGATAAAACCAAAATACCTTTTCATTGGGCATAACATTAATAGTGGGTGTTAAAAGTTCCCACGGTCCAAAACTGGAATACCTGAGAGAGCGCGAGAGAGTGTTCAACTTAGAGAACACATCACGGGGATGCTACAGTTACATCCGGCGAGCAACCCTCTCAACTGCTTGTGTTCTAATTGGAAGAGAGTGAATCCCCCCAGACAGAGAGAGTGAGAGAGGGCGCCAGAATGAACGATGGGGTTTTCAGGCGTCGTTTGTTCTGAGCGGGCAGAGTTCGTTTTCGACTGTTGTTGGCGGCGGTTGTGTCGCGTGTCTCTCTGCCGAGAGATTTGTGTGTGTGTCTCGCGCGCGTTTTACGCCCTGCGCCTCGCCCCCCATTTCCAATTGGAGAAACCTCCGAATGTGAATTTTGTATAATGTTTTTGTAATAACATGGATATCTCATGTTGAGATTTTCAGCCAGGCGAATGAAAATGCAAGCGGTATCCCGAAAATCGGTGTTAACGTGTGTGCGAATGCAACAATAAACGAAAGCAGCAAAAGAGATAAAAGTGAAAATAAATAAATAGTAGAGAAGGCGTGCTAAAGCACGAGAGCAAAAGGAGATTGCCAAGCAGACGTATAGACGTAGTGCAACGAACCCTTTTACGCGGACCAAGGATTCACCACTTACCACTAACCAGTGAACAAATACCACCCCCCACCTCTATTGCTCCTGGGTGTGTTTCTGTGTGTCCCGTTGACTCATCGTTCCCAGGAAGCTGAACAACGGTATAGCGGTCTACCACACAGAAGCTCAGAAAAAAGAGCAGCAGGAATATCGATTTTACTTGCCTTTACTTATACACCACCCACCACCCCCACCATCCATTGAACTGCACTTGGGTGAAGGAGAAAAACAGCAGAAGCCATTAAAGGAGACGTGTCAATTAAAGAAAAACAGAAGAGAAGGAGGATAACGGATAGCTTATACCTCATTGGAAATCTCAGCAACATTTCGCAAGGAACAAAAGCCAATCTCAAATGGTAAAAAAACACCGTAATCCATCAGAGCAGATAAAAAAGGGGCACTTAAGATCTATTGGTTCTCAAGTTACCCTTACAGTGGTCACTCAAACGAAACGTCTAAGAGTTTTTAACAATATTAAATGTGATTTTTTGATTTTGAGATAAAAAGTTATGATAAGATTGTAGTGAAACCATTGTAAGGGTATGGTTGTTAAATGTGATATATTTTTATCATCACTTTTGACCCGCGCCCCTAAATCAAACAATATATACAATGGCGTACCCTTTTTTTTGGCCCAAAAATGTTGAGCTCTGAAAACAGTTTGCTTTGTACTTGATCAGGTAATGTCTTCGAGGGGGGATTACTGTAGTGTCTTGGTATCGAATCACAAATAAATGTCAACAGCGATTATGAGTAAAAGGCAGTGGCATGGAAAATTTACGCCTTAGTGGAGTCCAAAAATAAAACGCGTCTGGGAAAAGGACTAGGAGTCGATAAAGGAAATGACATTTATAAATGAATTACATGAGAAAGACCGACCTGGAAAAGCTCTGTTATTTTTCTTATATTAAAAATGCATGAAATTTTCTACACTTTCGTTGCGTACAAAGGGTATACTTAAACGATGAATAATGAAGGTTTCCAGTTTTAATATTTCCATGAATTTCAAATATGGCAGGCCACAAATTATTTTGGAACAGATGAAGTTATAAAAGTGTTTACAAAAATGATTCATTTGAGAACGGGCTACATATTATTTAAGCTGCAGTTTCCGTTTTGTTTTCGTTTCTTTATCATCCATTTATGTGGAGAGCCCCTGCAAACATTTATCAGCTCCCATTGTATGCAAAACAAAAGCTCCGCCTCTTCCTCTTCTCGGTGGAGAACGGTGGAGAATGCATAAAAATAATTTACGTGGCGAACTATGCTCAGTGGCTCAAGCTTTAGTTCAAGTTGATATGTTTTCGTATTGTTTGTACATCATCTCTGCTGCCCGACGGATGTGGTTTGATAATAGCCGAAAGAGCGGGACAGAAGGTAAATAGTAGAGATGGAAAGGTACACAAAAAGAAACATGTTGGCTAAATTGGAAAGGCATTATCGGTATTTTACTATAATTAAATATATAAAAACAGGATGTGGCAGTGGTTGTGTATTAGGCAAAATCGAGTGATTGGTACTTCTTTAAAAATAATTATAATAGATTTCTTTGAGCGTATGGGAAATGGATCTCTTAAACAAAACTGACCTTTTCCTTTTAGAAAGTTAACCATTTGTAAGCCAAAAAGTGTTTAAAAACGTATGTATATTTGTTAGATTTTTTTTAAGAATTTATATGGCATTTTAAACATTTCATAAAATGTCCTACATTTTTTTCGTGTGCACCGGGGGGAGCAACAATGTTGTCAAGCTGAGTGCGTCGGATGCAGTCACATGTAACTGACAGTCAGTCAGAGTCATTTAGTCAGTCAGTCATTCAGAGATGACGAAGGGGAGAGTGGTGTTTAGTTTCAGTCTCTTTTTTCTTTGGCGTTTTCAATTTTATTTTGCGCTGTTTTTTTGCCGCCGCCTCTGTTGCTGCAATTCACAAACTCGTGCCAGGGTTCGCCGATTCAAAAATAGATATTCGTGTCTACAATTGCGGTCAAAAAAAATGTTTTCTAATATTTTACAAGATAGGCGCAATTCTGGTTGAATTCGGATCATTTATCTATTGCTTACAAATCCTCGAAAAATGTTTTAAGCATTCAAATGTCTGATTTATAAATCATATTTTTGTAAAATATTTCATTAGTTGCTCTAGATATATTGTTTTTTTCGATGTTCCATTATTTTGACTCTGGCTGTATCCCTGTTTGTTGAAAAATCAACCCCAAATGCAAACTGCAAACCCAATGGCCATCCGCTTTGATGTTGTTGTTCGACTCTGCTTTGTTTTGGTCTCTGGCTATTTTTGCCAAGATCTGTAATTGAGTGAACCCCTCGGCAGAAAAAAGCAAACACCACCCACGCGATTTTCTGGAGGAAAGGTCACCTGCTCTATATATAGACAGATGATGTGGGCCGCCCCAATTAGCCGCCCCATCATACTTGGATGTTATTTCTTTATAATTGAGGCGCTTGTATACACAAACACGAAAATGTTTGATAATTGCCCGTCTGCCATTATAATACTATAATATTTCATCGTTTAATGAGCTAAATTTCTGACGCTGTTTTTTCTTGGTCTGGGTATTTTCTGATGAATCACTCGATTCGAAAAGGTAAAACTCAGTCGTATGCAAATGTTGTTTCCTCCCAGAGTCGTGTTCTGTTTCTCTCGGTCTTGGTCTCGTTTTCGTTTGGCATTCGTTGTAATAATAATCGTGAATGAAATGAGTGTGCTCAGGTTCTGGGGCTTGGTACGAACCGAGTGCAATATATGTGCATATTGATTAGACGAAGGCATCTCAAACAATTCAATTACAAATGTGTACATATGCGCAAATGGGTCTGGGTTGTTGGGTCTTCAAGCTTGAAGGACTTTTTCTAATCAGTTCTGGTCTCAAAGTTCGACTTGGAGAAGCTTTGTTTCATTTGTGGAACAAGCAAGCATATTTTCTTATCGCTTTAAGTAATATTTAATGATAATTAACATATGCAATCTTTAGAGTAAACATGGCTATGCAAACGTTGATCTAAAAAATAAATAAATAATTAATTGAAACTTTGTTTTTGGAATATTGCTATAATATTTTGATATTTCCAAGGAATTCTTCAATTGTTATTCAGTTTTGAGAGTAAAAATACATTTTGAATCAGATTTACTCGGAATCGGAATCATCATTGCCTTTTATTAATATTTATAGTTAGCAAAAATAAATACAAATATTTGTTTTCCATCTTTAAATGGTTTACTTCGACCTTCAGGAAAATAATTGAAATGTACATTTCCATTTGAAAATGCTTCGCTGCACAGAGCAAACGGATCTAATGAATTTCTACTCGCAATCTACGAATAATTCATGCTCGAATTAGGAGCTTTGTTCCGATTGCATCAAGTTTATGGCTTCGCCTCGGGAATAAAATCCTAGATATCCCCCAAGAATGACGCATGCCAGTCGAACGTGCTCAATTATCGACGGACTTCGTTTGTGGTTTATTTGATTGTGCCTGATTTAATTTTCGTGATGCGTATTTGATTGTTTGGGGTTTCGATGCATTGGTAGTTTAATTTCCAGGCATCTCATATACAATTTGATACACTTGGCCACGCGAGGCACGTTCCAGAACCGAGACCTCTGGACCCGACCTTTTTCTCCTTTTCTCACGCATGACCAACACGGCTGACCTCTCCTCAAATAATGTGTTTTTCTTAGCCGAGATTAACTGTCTCAAAGACCCACCGACCAAATGACATTTCTCTTCGCACGAATTTGGCCAAAAACAAGTTATGTAATTGGTAATGGAGCCGGGCCAGGCTGTAATTGAGCAAAACTGCAAAATTGTCGGAGTTGGCCTGAATTTATGGCTAAACTCAACATGAAATGGGCTGGGCCAGTTCATCTCCGACGAGGTAAATGCCATAAAACTGACGGGAAAAAGGAAAGCGCAACGCAGTTTCCACACCAGAGACATGAAAATATTTATCTAGGCAAAATATTGTAGAGTTGGCTTCAACGAATGGGAAATACTCTTATACAAATCCTTACAGAAAGGTTTTAAAGGAAATTAAATAATAATTGATTTGGTTTTTTTTTTATAAAATGAATTTAAAAGATTAAGAATTTGTGCACACCATTTTATATATTTTCCTCTTTTTGAAAATGTAATTTTTTGTATTCAATTAGGGTTTTTATTTATTAGTATTACATTGAGTTAAGTTTGAGAATTTAGTTTTAATCTTGACGAGGATCTTCATGTTCGAAGTTTGTTTGTATAAAAAACTTTTCCTGTTGCTTTCCTTTGTTAGAGTATTTTTCCTTGGCGAAAACCTGTGCGCAGCTGTCAATAGGCGTGGAAGACTAAGGCCCAAAATCAACAACAACAAACTAGTTGTTCGCAATAACTTCCTGGTAAAAGTTGAACACATCTCGAAATGGGGGGCCCGAATGATCATACTTGGGATGTTGTTTACGATTATAGGCCGGGATGAACGGCGCTGCTAAAACAATATCGAGGAATTGTTAAACAAAGATTGCCCGTAAATTTGCCCCCGGGCATTTTGGGGAAATGTGAATCGGGGGTTTCAAGGGGTTGGCGCTTCCCATTTAGCCAAAAATGGATGAGTAAATAGTGAGCGCCACTTGAAGTACAAGTCGCTTGTCACTTTTTGTTTGTATATTTGTTGCTTTTTTTTCTATTTTTAGGTATATATTTTTTTTTTTTTTTTTTTTTTTGGGAGCTCATAAACATCAAATACAGCTGAACAATGCGAGTGGTTAGTGCTCGTGTGTATGTTTTTTTGGGAGTCAAATCGTAGCCAAGGTCAGGGGCTCTGTGAACGAACGGAGAAGACAGCTCAAATGGGTTGAGGGTCGCAGTCAATCAATGAACCGCAGCCCGAAACCCAAGATCAAGTACAAAGCAACCTCTTCAGAGTTGAACACCCCCTCCAAAAAAAAAAAAAACTATAAGTGTGTAAATAAACCCCCTTCCTCCCCTGAAAAAACTTGCAGAATTTCACAAGTCGCGCCAACTGCAAATGCCCGCATAGCCAAAAGCACCAGCAGAAGCCCGCTCTGATCAAGAGTCACACCTGCGCCTATCAGTTGCAGGACCTGACAGGATATAACCGCGCCCTAATGCCTCCGCTCGACAACACGGACTTCAGCAGTGCCTTTCGGCAGGGGAACAACAACACCACCAGCCAATCCTGCGCCTATCACCAGCAGCAGGATCCGAAGGATTCGAAGAGGCAGTACCACCATCACACTTGTCCAAGGCAAAGGAAAAAGTCCTCGACGCCGAACCCTCCAGCTTATATGTGCCAGCAGCACCAGGAACCCCAGCAGCAGCGAAGATCCCGCTCTGCATCGGCGAAACCTCGAAGGAATAGCTCCTATCACTCCTACGATGATCTGGATGTCTCGTCAGCGGTTCTCAATGCGGAACGCAAGGTGGTGGCCAGCTTGAAGTACCTTTGTGCCTGCACGGGAGCCACCTTGAGGAATCTCTCCAAGAAAACCAAAGACCTGCACGCCAAAAACTATACCTACACGAAGGTAAATTGAGGAACTATTAAGCATGTTGTCATCAGTTCAAATTTTCAATTTTAAAAATATATTATTAAGACTAATGCATTCCCAAGGTTACGTATTTGAACTAATTTAATAAGCACTAAATACGAATAATTAAATTTATAATATTTAGTAATACTTCTATATATTAATAGATATTTCTTTCTGTTTTATAAATTAATTATTGCTCTTTACTCTACCCCAATACTATATACAAAGGTTTCGCATTATTTTCTATTTAGGTTTCCTTTGCGTAAAAATTTAATTACATAAAAGCATCTTTATAAACAGAAAACTTGTAATTTTTGTCTGCTTTTTCCATTTCCCACGACTTTTAAGCTTTTGTGTGACTTCACCTAATGTGAGACACTTGTCGAGTTACAGATACCTGAGTCACATCCGGCTTAATTATGTTTACCCAATTGGTTGTCTAATTGGCACTAATTAATTGCTTCAGTTGCATGCAAGAATTTAAGACGTGGAGGAAGGGGATAGACAATCAATTAAAGCTCAATTGCTTAGGCAATTTATCTGTTCATGGCTGACTCCGCACTAGTAAATACTTCTAACATTTATTTTTATTCGAAATAAACGTTTCTTTTTACAACACAAAAATAATTCAAACTTGATACCTATATATGTAGTATAAGTTAGTACCATTATACATAGTAAGTACTACATAGTGAAACTTGTACAATGCTAAATAATTGTCTGATAGCCAAACATATCACTTGATTCGTTGAGAACTTTAACCTAGTGATAATAATAGAACAGAGGGATTCACAGTCGGAAGTGAATGAATGAAATGGTCTCCGCGAAATCATTTAATCTTATTTCCTAAAATAAGTAACAATCTCATTTGATTTTCTACAAAGAGAGTTTTTAACTGAAATCTCTGTCAATTGTTAAGTGACTCAATGATGAGTTTACCGATCAAAATTCCGGCTTGCAGCCAATAAATCAGTGTCTACTTAAACATGATTTACTACAGAATTCATTCCTTTAAATCATTTTAAAGTATCAGTACTAGTATTTTCTTCACTTTTTGACGCAAATGGGGAATTGAACTGAGCTGCCATAATGCGTCATTAATTAAACAGCGAAACCGAATGAAAACAGCAGCGCGTATAAGGCATCCAAAACACAGAAAAAAAACTGCCAAATAAATAACAAATAAATTAAATAAATACGTATACGCTATATATGTGAATATTCCACAATGCGAATCAAGAACAGCGGCAAAAGTTTTTGGCAGATGCCGCTAAGGAAATTCGCTGCCGTGCCGATGATCGTGAATCGGAATTGATTAAATGCTGCCTTCACATTGTATATGTACTGACATATATGCACATACATTTATATATATATTCGCCTAATGAATTTGGGAAGGGGAAGTGTGTGTAAATCAGCCAGCCGAAAAATAAAACAGAAAGCGGCAATTAAGCTCAAGCATACAACAATTAGATGAAAACAATTGCAATTTTGTTTCTTATGTTTTGGGATTTTTTAGCAGGAACATCGTTTGCCCAGCTGTTGTTATTGAATTCCGTTTAGCGGGGGACTCACTAATCGCAGGCTTATTTTTTTAAGTGCAAATGGATCGCAAGATTACCCCATTCGGTATGCCCTTACATTGCCACATCTTGTCTTCTATTTTTGCAAGGCCATTTGGAAGTGTTTCAGCTGTTTCCAGATCCATCTCCGAGCAAACAAAAATTTATGCACAATTACCCAAAATAACAACAAATCGCCCTCTTGCCTGCCACTTAACACGCCCTGGGGAAAAATGGTGGCTCGTTTTGTAGTTTCCATGTTTTTACGAAATATTAAAGTACTTCAGTGAAAATTTACGAAATGCTGGCGAAGTGAACTAAACATTTGCTCAAATTGGTTCGCTTTTGTTGGTGTAATCAAAGCGCATGCGGGCAATTAATTGGATCAACATGAAGTTCGTGTCTGTCAGTCTGGGATGGATGACCCCTCCTCATGTACGTGTGTGTGAATTTTCGTGTGGCAGACCCCCTCCCCCTTTTTTTTACCCCCTCCTACCCCCCATCAAATCATGTTTATGTTTTTGCATTCCGTTTGGGATTCTCATTTGGGGTCAGCATGATGTTGTTTCTATTGTTCCTGTATCTACACAGGGAAATCATTTATCCTTTTATTATTAACTTATTTTGATGGAAAATATATAATATAATGTTCTGGAAAAGTAAAAAAAAACTATATATGTATACCTATATTATATAAAAATATAATGTTGTATCGATTTTTGAAAATGATAATTTTGTGAAACTTAAAAAAAGTAAAGTAAAAAAAATGTTAAGCAAAAATACTTTTTAGAAGTTTTAAGAACAAGCTCTTGTATTTATTTATTTTTTTTTAATATTAATTTTTCATCCGAAATGAAGGAACTTTTTTTCGCTGTGCGGGGGAAATCTTTTTATAGTGACTTCTGTTAATCCACAGCTTTGTTGTAACTTTTGTTGCTGTTTATTATTGGGGGGCGCCAACACTCCAACACTCTCCGAGTTTGCGTGCCTTTCCCCTTGTGGTTGCTGTTGTTGCCCGTTTATTCATTCACTTCTCGTTTAATGCTTTTTCACGCTTTTGGCATTGCTGCGAGTAAATTTCAATTTAAATACTTGTGCACCCATTTATGTGGGCCCGTCTGTGTGTGGTATTTACATAGTTTTTACATAAACACAATAGGTATTTTGTAAATCGCTGCCTTTGTTTGTTGCATGAATTTCCAATTAGAATTTTAATGCTTCGCCGTTGATTAAGCGAAAATATGTTAGGCATTTTCCGGGTGCCTAGGGCCTTGGGAAATAAGTGGTATAAATACTTAAATAAATGCGTTTGTAACGGAGCTCTTTGTACGGAAAAGACATGACGAAAGTCAACAAGTTTTAATAAGCAATTTAGGACTAAAATCTGAAATTTCACAATCTCTCATGTTATTTTAATTTCGCTTTTCACTTCCAATTAGGCTGGGCAATTTCGGCAACATTTTCATTTTCATCTCTTTAGAAACACATTTAGTTTTGCTCCAAGCAACAAATTAGCAAAGAATTTATGTATCAATTAAAATACCACGACTAGACATGAACAAATGTTGTTTGGGCCGTAACATTGCCAAAGATGCCACACGAAACGGAAATGGAAATGCCAGACAACCGGATTTTTCACAAAAACAAACAATTTTCTGATTCAAAACAATTGGCAAAATCTAAAGACATAATGTTTATATTGGAAATATTTAAAATTTGTTGAACTCGCATTAAGGGGAAAAAATTAAAAATACGTCGGAAATTGTGTCTAAGTTTAGACTTATGATAAATTCGATTGCTATTATATTGGCCGTGATCTTTGACTTTGACACAGATTTTAAATTTTGCTTAAGCAGCATAAATAAATCAATTTTTTTTATTGAATATTAACGAAAAGTTTTGAACTATAAATAAAAATTTATTTTTGCACACTGGGGTTTCGTTTGGAATAATTTATGATAGGCAAACATAATTTTATTCCTATTCAACACAGAAATTATGAATTCGTATCTTACCTGTTTTATAAAATATAAGAAAATAGTTTTAGCATACCAGCACAATTTTCCACATAAAGTTTAGGCGAAAGCTAGCTTCCTGAAGTTACAAAATGTAAAACAGGCAATCAACTAAAACTAATCCACTTTCCGTTTTCATTATTTTACAGCCCACGTGGCGCCTTTGGGGCGAAGAGCACGAGAAGAATGCAATTTTCACCGTTTACCTGAAGAAAGTGCGATACCACCGACCAACGCCCACGGCGAGCAATGTAAGTAATCCCCAAAATCAATTACAAGGATAACATCTTTAGATGGAAACTTTTTCTTAACACCTAGATTGTGGCTACTAGTTATTAAACTTAGCTCAGAACGATTTTAGTTGTCTTGAAAATTGTTTAACTTGTTTACAGTTGTTAAGACAATAAATGATTTGTAGAAGAGCTTAATTAATTTTATTAAATATTGTACATTTAGAATGTAACAAGCAATTAGAAACTGGTAACTGTATTTAAATATTCTAGTTTAAATATGTATCCTAAAATATGTTTAATTCGTTGCTCTTAATTTTCTTATTAAATATAAACCTAATTCCTTTTCTGACCTTTCTTTTATGCAGGACTCAGATGATGAGATTTCCCATCTGGAGTGGGAGACAGTGAGAGTTCGCTTTGTGAAGGCGGCTACCTTGGCCCGATTGGTGGAGGCTCTGGCCACCGACGATGGGGAGCTGGAGTCCACCTTCATTAACGTGTTCCTGTCCACGTATCGCACCTTCTCCACACCCAAACAAGTGCTCAGTTTGCTGACGCAGCGCTACGATGCGCTGCACGACAAGCATCTGGAGGAGTTGGAGCAGGCGCAGCAGAATGGCCAGGACATGGATCCCGCCTACGATCCCCATGCCTCCATCCACGAGCAGCACAAGAAAACTCTAGTCTCGGCGCTGCACGTCTGGCTGGATGGATTCCCGGAGGATTGGCAAGAAGATAACCTGCAGCAGGTAAGAAAAAATATATGGAAATATGTACAAATTTAATTAATAATTAATTATATTTTATGCAGATTCTAGCCTTTGCCACCAAGCGACTGAAACGATCCGATCTGCACATCAAGGTGTTGAATCGTCTGGAGCGACTCATCCGACAGTCGGTCTATGGAAATGGCGGTGGAAATGGTGGCTCAGAGAGCAATGGTCTCTCGTGGCTTTCAGCAGCTGGTTCGCAACAGATGCAGCAGTTCATGATTCCCACGCACTATGGCTCTTCGTACGACCTCACGGATCAGTTCAATGGCCTGTATCTCTCGCCAATGGGCCATGGACCCATCTATCGTGGACCAACTCACTTCCTGCAAGCCTTCCGATTTCCACACGTGCCTGTCCGTCATTTTGCCGAGCAGCTGACCCGCATGGACACGGAGTTGTTTAAGCGATTGATTCCCCATCAGTGCCTTGGACACACGTGGGCACGAAGGGATAGCGGAGGATCGGAGACTGTGGTGGCCACCATCAACCAATTCAATGCGGTGCTCTTTCGAGTGGTGTCCAGTATCCTGATCGATAGGCTGAAACCGCAGGTGGGTTAATTAAAAACCCTTTTTTCATAGGATTTTTTAAAGAATTTTTTCTATTATTAATTTAATTTTTAATTGATTTATTAGGAGCGCGCTCTGAACATTTCACGTTGGATTGACATTGCCCAAGAGCTGCGCATGCTCAAAAACTTTAGTTCACTCAAGGCCATTATTTCGGCCCTGAATTCCAATTCCATATACCGCCTCTCCAAAATCTGGGAAGTGCTGCCTAAAGAAAGGGTAAGTTCTAATAATATATTCAATTAAAAGGGGTTATAAATTATTTTAATATTTATTCCTAATAGATGGAAGTCTTCACGGAGCTGGCGAGGATTTGCTCGGAGGACAATAATGCTTCCACTCTTCGCGAAGTACTGAAACGTGAGGGAACGGCCAAGAATCCAGATCCTAGCAGCGATCAAAGCGATCGGCATCTGCAGAAGCTCATCTTAAATCTAGGCACTCAGACATCCCACGGAACGATACCCTATCTGGGTACCTTCCTCACCGATCTTACCATGATCCACACGGCCAACCCTGATTACCTCACCGAAAATAAGCTTATTAACTTCGACAAGAAGCGCAAGGAATTCGAGGTTTTGGCGCAAATCAAATTGCTTCAGGGAGCGGCAAATACGTATAATCTCCAAGCGGATGCCCTCTTTGATCACTGGTTCAACTCGATGCCCGTTTTTGATGAGAGGGAGGCATTCGAGCTGAGTTGCCGACTGGAACCTCCGCCGCCGGCTCCCCGGAAATCGGTGGTCAGCACCAACACCTCGCTAACGAATACGACCGCCTCGTCGACGGCTTCCATAATGGGCCATCGGAAGACTGACTCCATACACTCCAATTCGAGCAGTGGGGCGGGATCGCAGTTCTATTGTGAACTGAACAGTAGCACCAGCTCAAGGCACAACTCCCTGGATCGGGATGCCCACCATCAGCACGCCTCTTTGATGTCCGCCTCGAGTAGTGTATCCAATCTGTCCTTGGACTCCAGTAATTCTGGTGGGCGGCAATCCGGCAAGCTGACGCATTCCCAGTCCATGGGAAATGGTCTTAAATCTCATGGTAATGGCACTTCAAATGGTGGATCTCCGCACATAAATGCTCAGCTGGTGCAACCAACAAGTGGAACTCCCCAATCGGCTCCCGATTTCTATATCATCCGCGTGACTTATGAAACGGACAACATAGAACTCGATGGCATTGTACTTTACAAGAGCATTATGCTCGGAAATAATGAGCGAACGCCGCAGGTGATCCGAAATGCTATGCTAAAGTTGGGACTGGAAGATGATCCGGATAGGTTTACCCTGGCGCAGGTTTTACCCGACAAAGAACTGGTAATGCCGAAGAATGCGAATGTCTACTATGCGGTCAATACGAACTACAACCTCAACTTTATCCTGAGACCGAGGAAGGAAGAGGGCGTGGCTGGCAGCTAGTCCACAGCCGTGCCCCTGTCCCAATTGTGGTGTCTGGGATACGAGGGCGAGGAGTAAAAGTGAAGAAGGATTACTTTTTTGGGGGGAATTGTACATAGCTAGAGCTTGACTCGCCCATGACAAAACTGGATAAACCAATTTCTATTTAGGTTCGTAGTACGTTTAAGTTATTTATTGAAAAGTGAAAGAATCATAGAAGCAATGATTTCGATTAGTTCGATTACCGATTATTTCGATGAATATCTTTAGATTCAAACCTGTCAATTAGCACTTAGCAAAACTTTTGTAATCTCTGATTTTTCCCAAGCCTAGAGCTCGTTGTATAAGTCCATTGAAAATCCAACCCAAAACATATATATTATATAGAGACTCTACTGGAATATTTGCTGATATTTACATAAACACAACCATATATATTTACGTATATATTTATATATACAACAATTGATATTCTACGTGTGGTACAATAATTTGGGATCTTGAAACAGATATTACTTTGGTTTAAGGATCCTCGTTGTCTTTACTTTCAACTGAGGACTTTCGAACACAAAACAACTAAGCATATTTGTATAGATGTTTTTACCCACTGTACGTGTATTATAAATACAAAATTAAAAATAAGTACTATTTGTAACTGTTTCCAAATGGAGTGCACAACAACAAATAATGTTTATCAATAACTTTAGCGTGTAAAGAAATTGTATTTCAGATTTTGTAAGTTATCTACATTGAAAATTAATAAGAGAATGAAACAATTATACACTAAGGAACCACTTCGATTTATACATATTAAATATGATAGTTATATAAATGCAAAGAGAAGTAAACAATAGAAGAAAAACAGAGTAATAATGTACATATATAAATGAAAAGCGATAATTTGTGTTCTTCTGCAAAATAAATTGTACCAAAAGAAAGCATAATAAATTGTCTTTTAACATTACTGAAAAGGATTTGTTCAAAGTAAGTACCTCAATAATAATTTATTTAAGAAATATCTGTTTGAAATTTATTTTTTTAATTTTATTTTTTTTATTCTTATGGATAATATTTCCCACCAAAATAATATTTTTGGTTTCCTACCTAAACAGAACGAAATACAATGTCAATTTTTAAGGATTTTCTGATGGGACTGCGGATATCCCAAGCAACCCATCTGCGTCAGGAAATTTGTCATTCCATTAAAGGTATTAGTAATCCAACAAAACAGATTCCCAACTTTGATTAGCCTGACTTGGCTATGTCAAAACTTAACCCCCAACAATTCAAGGGAAAAGTTTAACCCATTTCGATGTGAAAAAGCGAAGAAGGACGGAAAGTGGAAAATCTGATTATCAAGCAGACGATGCCAAGAGAACTTGGCCAAGGCTTCAAACCAAATCAGCAGCCACCAGGCTGAAGGAAGAAGGGGTTAGAAGAAAGGACCAAGTTAGCGGGTCAAAACATCTCATTACATTTGCAGGCTGACACACACCCACACACCCAAACACACACAGACACACACAGATACAAACAGATACAAAAACACAACCGAGAAGAAGGCAGTAAAACTGAAATAAATTGCTTTTTTGGCTTTTTAACAACTTTCGGTCGGAAACGAAAACAAGTTGCACCTCCGGCTGGCAAGAGCCGCCTTTAACTTTCGCTGAAAACAAATTTCGTTATCCTTTTCCCCCCTTTTCGGCGCGTATAATTTTTCCTGCCCACACAAACTTTAATTAGATCACTTCAATGACAAAAAAATAAATCTCGTGCCGCAATAATAAAAACCACCAGCGGCAAACAAATGGAGATGTTAGGGCGAAGGGGGCGTGGCAGTGTGTGGGGCGGGGAGAGAACTTGAAAAGCTCTCGAAAAACAAACTTTCCCAAACTAGTCGGTGAAAATCCGCATCAAGCATCAAATGGAAATGGAAATAAGTTGACTTGACTTGACGTTGAAGCTGCTTAAAACGGGCTGGAAAGTGGGTGGCGACATCAATGTGGAGTGCTGCCAAAGGGGCGAAGGAGTGGGCCATAGTGAAAGCTCCGGGGTTAACAATGACGTCATAGTTGTGCAAGTGAAGAGCACACAAAGAAAATCAAAAGCAAATCAGCTCTAGAATAATCTATGAATTGTTTTCTTTAACCCTATTAAAAATATTAAAATTTTAATGATTACAAAAAATCAATCAATAAAGTTTTTATACATATTTTACATCTCTTTTACAATTTAAAAAGAAATAGTGTACTCAAAAAATAATAATTGAAATATAAGTACATTTACAGAAAAGATTTATAGGGTAAAAATATAATAATACCCACATTCAAAGTATTTCACTTTGGTGACATATCCCAACTATGAGAACACATTGATGTGGGTAATAGCCATCTTGTTAGCCAACATTTTTATTTGTGCAGCAGAAGCTTAACCGCAGGGGGTGGGGATAGTGAAGGAGGTGAAACCAATTTGAAGCGTACAAGCGTGTTTCGTCATAACTGAGTACGAATAATCGATAATCTGAAGCAGACACAATGACGCAGTTAGAATGACATAATTCCACACATACCCACAGGGAAAATTGATAAGACAGGGTCACAACTGCAGGTCAAAACAAGAAATTCAATTAGAAAGTCCTGGAAGAAAGGAAGGGGGTCTAAGGGTGGCAGTATCATGACGACAGTCTAGTTTGGCCTTCTCCAATATTCCATTCGGCCACGCCGCACACAATCCCCACTCAGAGCGGGCTACACCCTCTTTCTTAACGATTCCCTCGACCATATACCCACCATATATTGCACGTGTACATTTCCATCGACACCAGGTGAAACCTTCAAACAAAAAAACAGCCAAACACAAAAAATACAACAAAAAACGGATAATAAGCAACAATGCCTGGTATCTTAAATACCCTTGAAAGCCAATATTTCTCGGGTTGATGGTTTTTTAAATGGCGAAAAGTTATTGTTTACAAGTTTCATTGATTTATAAAATATTATAATGTTTATTTTCCTATATTACTTATAAATTATAGGTAATATTATTATTTTAAGGCTCGCTAAGAACAGAAGTGTTTATTAAGCATCTTTTAAATAGTTTAGAAACAAACGTTTTTAGCACAAAGATTTAAAAATTATTGGAAAAATAATTTTTGTGGCATGTTCAAGCTTTGATAGTTTGTAAACTTTTTTGTCAAGTTGTTGGGTAAAAAACTAACACCAAAAGAGGATAAATTTGAGTATCCTAGGCAAGCGTATAAAATCAGCAAGCCAAAGGAATCCAATCGGTATTTTCAGTTGCCTGCTTTTGAGCGCTTTTTCTCTGGCAGGCGAGAATGCAACAACGTGTCGGGCCCTCACTCACACTTTAACCCTTTCTCCTCCATGCTCACATACACACATATACACATGCACAGCCTCCCTAGAGAGCGTAAAGGACCTTTGCTACCTGCCAAACTGCTCGTTCTCTGCCTCTTCTTAATCGTAGAGCTCCTGTCACACATTTTTGACGTTTCTTTGCCAGCTGTGTTGAGTTTCTGCGTGGGAGAGTTGGCCCGCAAAAGAGAGAACTCCGACGAGGAGAGAGCTTTCCTGCAAGCTCTGGCGTTACCTGGTTCTTTTGGGTCCTAGCAATTGGGCCTCAGTTCGCATTTCGGACTATTGAGTGCAACTCACTCTCTTTGGGGAAATTCGAGAGGCAGAGGGAGATGAAAAGAAAAATGGGAAAGTGGCTGGGGAGGCTTTTGATGGGCGCGGGTTTGTTGGATGGGTTTTATGGCTACACCAAGACACTTAATTGGGCAAAAGCTACAATAAAATGTTGCATTAAGCCATTGAGGCTACGAGGACTTTGACCAAACAATTGCTATCTGTAACATTTAATTTTAATAATATCAATTTAGGATTTAGATAACAAAATCACAAAAGTAGAACTTGTAAGTCTAACATTTTGTATATATACACAGAGAAATAAAAATATTTTTAAACTCCATTGTTAGGAATTTTCACTAAGATATTCACATTTTCATTTTAAAAGTTTAAAATATTTTTTTTTTCAAGAAATTTTGTTTGTATGTATGTATATAAATGTCCAAGTTTAAAAATAATTAACTTTTTTCACGGAAAATTTACGTTTATGAAAGTAATTTAATAAATTTACTAATAATCTTTAAAGGATTTATATAATAATATGCAATGACACCTGCATTTTTTCCAAGTGCACAATTACGTCTACATTTTAGGTGCATGTGGACCTGGTGCCCATAACAAACGTAACAAACGTAACGAAAACAATTACACGAAAGAAATCCTCAAAAAGCACACGGGAAACGAGACTGAGAGTACACCCCCTCTATTTCTTTATCCTGCCACTCCTCCCTTCGTCCACCTGCTCAGGGACTGCTCAGTGAACATTAAAATAACAAAATCCAAACAACGCAAACTTTGAGTGCAAGACCAACAAGAGAATCGTAGTACCCAGGGCCAGAGAGAGATACACCAAGAACATTTTAATTTATTTTCATTAAAGAAGCTTCTCGAAAATGATTTTTATATGTTGTTTAATAAAATTTGTATTGGCATAACATTTTTTTAATAAATATTTCAATACAGACATTCTTCACCTCAGAACAAAGTATTATGGTAGCTATGCTTATACTATTTAATATCTTAAAATTGTTCCTTGTGTAAAAATAGAACAAGAGAGAGCGCGAAGCTCGCCAGGACGTCGCCAGTCAGTCTCGACGGGGATTCCGCTCTCTAACGGTATTGCTCTCTGCGTCTGCATGGAAGCCTACAAAATCGGGGAAAGCTTTTGGGCCGAGGCCTTTGCGAAAGCGAAGCCTCCAAAGTAGTCGGAGAAGTGGAGCCAAACGGTCAAGACGCGGAGCTCCGCTGAAAAATTAAACAATATACAGAAGAAGAGAGCGAAGGGGAAGAAACTACAAAATCGCAGCCCAAATCGCGCTTCGTCGAAAAGAAAAAAGTGGGCAAAAAAATAATTCTAGAAGGCTCGACCGTATACACCAAAAAAAAAAAACGAAAAATAAGTGTTTGGATATGCAAGTTAAACAAATACGCCAATTATGGGCAGTTTAAGGCGCAAGAAGGAAAGAGACAGGGCAACTCTGGCTCTTCCATGTTGTTGTGTGTAATGTGTGAAACGATTTTCCTCCTCCAACAGTTTTTTTTTTTGGCAATATGCATGGGGTATGTAGATACATCCAAGTACAGGCCGAAATAGAGCCACAAGGAAGAGCTCCTCAATAAATAAGTAACAGAAAAAAATCAGCGAAAAAACAGAAACAGGAACAGATGAGGGTTACATTTTGAGGGAAAACACCAAGGAAATAATAACCTTGAAGGCTTTTGGCCAAGGCTCTCAACTTGCTGTTCGAGAGGCTCGCGTACAACATGGCGTATGCTTAATAAAACCAAAATAATATAAGTGAGCAAATATGAAAACATGTGCAACAAAGTGTGCGTGCGCGTGTGTGGGTGCCAAATAAAGAATTAAGCAAATAAATAAGCGATTCGACTCGACTCCACTCTAAGCGATTCCCGATGACGCATTCGAGAAGAGTAGGGCAGAAGGTTAAATTACACAAAACGTCAAATTCGCCACGTACGACAGCCGTTTCGGAGTCGTTAGTCCGAAATTCGGTTTCGGAGTCCTCCGTCGGGATACGGAGTATCCAGATAATAGGCGTGCAGAGAGCACAAACTACAGAGCACCCAACATTTTCCAACTAATCCTTGCTATAACAAATTCAAGTCGAAGAAAAAATAATTCCAGAAAAAATAATACAATTTTAAAAACAAGCCTTAACCGAATATCAAGCAAAATATTTCAAAAATTTACTCAACCAGAAAATGTGCCTAGCTCTCCGAGCGAGGGAGAAAGCTTGAAGAGAGAGAGTGAGAGAGCACGAACACCCTCAACCTGAATTCACCACGATAAAATACAACAAAGAAGGAGAACAAAAAAAATAGAAAAAAAAAATACTTTCACTCTCGCCACAACGTGGCGGCATCGAGAGGCAGGAAGCGCATAGAGTGACAGACAGACAGACGGACGGCGCTGGGAAAACTCAAAGGGAAAACTTTTTGCATGCCACAAGCAGCAGGAGCGTCACAATCAGCATCAGCTGACTGCTGCAGGAAGCCTGGCAGCGGGACAACTGTGTTGCGGACAGGACGAGCGTCCGGTCCTGTCACAATCCATTCAATACGAATAGGGGCCTCCAGCGAACACTGGCCACGGGCTCCTCGCGCCGCCACCACTCACCAACACACACACACCGCGCCCAAGCAACGGCACTTTTAATGTATCCTTAGAATTCCAAACAGGTGAGCATACAACCAAAAAAGTGAAACAGTCAGATAAGGTACAAATAAAGTGTAGTGAAAGGACCTGATACTCGTATAATAAATCATTGTGTTTCTAGTTTTGAATGGGCAATGAGTTTGAATGCCTCAGCCCACAGAAGTGTGCAAAAGTTAGAGACTTGTCACAAGGATATAGTGAATAAGGTGTTTTCTTTGTTTCAGATATTATTTGTGTTTTCCCAAAACATTTTTATTGTTGAATAAGTTTGTCCCACAAAGGAAATGATTTATTTCGGAATAATATCATCATAAAGTAAAAACAGATAATAAAAAGTGAATTGAAAATGAAGCTGGAGTGCATAGGAAAAGGAGTGGAATATTTTAAGGATGCAATGGAGCGTCAAGTCATAATGAAATGTAAAGCTTAAAAGATTTTATTATAGTTTTTAAAAAGGTGTAATTAAAAATTATAATAGTATAGTATTTCAAGGATTGTATCCTATTACGAATTTATTCATTTAATAATTTATAAATATAGCTAGAATTTAATGCAATACTAAGAATTGCATATTTTAAAGTTGCTTTCAATTACATTCTTTCCATCTTCGACTCGCCAATGTTGTTCTCCATGAATAATTAAAGAATATCAAAGAAACTAACTAGTCCGCGCCCGAAAAAACGTTGAAGCCTTGAAGGACACTTGTTCCTTTTCCATCTCAAGCAGCGTTCGGCATTCGCACCCTCCAAACGCTCTTCAATTACAGCACTTTTATTCATTTTCTCTGCGCCTCGAGCTGCAATTTGTCTTTAATTGCGACAGCCCGCGGTGCAGTCTTAATTTGCATAAATTTGTGCCCGAATCGTCATTCTGCGCGTTACACTCATAATAACCGTAACTTAGTTTCAATTAAAAGCTCAGCCATCAATTATGCAAAGCGAAATTGGCGCCAACGAACCGAAAAAATCGAAAACCAACAAAAGCGTTGCATACTTTTTGGGATGCCCAGCAAGTGGTGGCAGTATTATAATAATAATAATTCATGCATAATTGCGAGAAATTAAGCCGTTGAAATCAATCATGCAAACTGCACAACAAAACGGTCGACCACAGAAATGTGAAAAATCAAATTTTCATTTTCAATTAGTGTGCTGAGCGCCCAATCAAATAGCAGCAGCAAATGTAAATAGGCAAACATCACTCATACGCCTAGTACACCCAATGTCCTGTCAGGCTGTGCGCTTCCGTTTTTCGGCAATTAATTAGGCGCAAATTTTAATTAAATGGCGTCAGTGGATGGAAATGTTCTTTCGATGACGGCAGTTGGCACTTGGTTCAGGGCCAAGTTACTTTGTTCTTTGTGCCAACACCGAGCTGTGACACAAACTCATTAAATAGTTATTACTCAGCCCATGTCGCCGGCAAGTGTCAACCACGAATGTGTTTTTAAGGTTATTAATATCTTACTCAAATTTTTTGTAGACACTCTGCCGTTAATAATGGTTATAGTGAAAAAGATAAGGGGAACTGGCATTGTGTGTCAAGGTGGGTTGGGTTTGGAAAATCATATATACATATAGTAGCTTTCTTCATTAAGTAGATTTAAAGTCTTTAAACCAATTATCTTTCGAAATTGTGTGCTTAAAATACTTATTAGATCAGAGACCAGAAAACAAACATATGGTTTGTAAGTCAATAAAAATATTTAAATTGTATTACAAAAGGTTTTCAAGTTTTTGGTAATAGTTTAAAGTGGTTTAATTCTGGTTTTGAGCACTATAAATGCTTTTTAATTAAGTTAGTTTAATGGCAGGCTTTCGATCAATCTAAATCTAAAACCATTCTTATGCTGATGTATCTGCTATCGATTCGGGGTTACGTGACTACCTACCCAAGCCAAAAGTTTAATTACCGCCATCATAAATGGGGACCGAACCCAAACCTACCCAAAGAAAAGGGAAGGTGAAAGAAAGAAATTCCAATAATTGTTTTATGGCTTATCAAGGTGTGGGTGACACCCCCTGCCATTCACAGAACGCAACTCGCTCCCTGAATCCAACACCGCTCACCATTTTTTTTTGGTTGGTTGGAAATCATTAAGTGGCCGAAACCAAGGCAAACTAAGGCCAAAAGCAAGTCGGATGGAAGCGAGCCGAGCCCTTCTTGCGTTTAGTTTTCGGTGGCATAACAATCAATCTTGGAGCCTAAAGGGAGTGGGGAGGATTTGGAACGCAGGTGTCCGGTCAAAAGGAAATCGTTAAATGGCAGCAACGCCTCCCCCTTCCTTATCAAATAATCCTTTTTTTGTTCATGCTCGTCGTATAGTATATACGTATGTATTTAGCAAACTCAAACTTGAACGCTTCAAGAGCTCATTAAGTGGGCTAACCTTGATGGAGGGGAGGTCTTAGAAATGTTGCAAGTTTTCCTCTTAATTCACTTAAGACTTTCAGTTTGAGTTTGCCAGGACTCACACACGCACACACAGGCGCACACATTATAAATGGCATATCCCCCACAACCAAAAGGTGGCAATTGAATGTCGGACTCCGCCTCTGTCTGCGAGTCCTTTAAGTATCTTGTATTAAGAAAGTTTCCTTCACCTCCAGCCATTGAATTGATTGCAGGACTGCGCGGTGATGAGGGGATGAGCCGAAATGGAGGTCTTGATAAACTAAGGACCATTCAGCAGTTTTCCATAGGCAAATAGAAAAATATTCATAAAACTGGAATTGCGATTTGTCCTTGCAACTTTTCCCTTTTTTCTCCTCCCCTTTTTTTCAATTTCAGCCGTAGGAGCTAAAAAGGATGTAGGATAATAGATTTGCGTCTGTGCGAGTGCCTCGCTTAACCTTTTTTTTTTTTTTTTTTTTTTTTGTTATTTTCTCTATTCTCAACCCAGAGAAAATTGCTTTAAATGGGTTGAAGGCCTGCCTTGCCTTTGGCTTTGGGCCATGTTTCTGTTTAAGGCTTCAGCGAGTCTATCGGTGACACTAATTGCTGGCTTATTATCCTTATTTGCGGTGGCATTGGGTGGCTGAGGGGTCTGGGGCAATCCCACGCAATTCAACGATTATGATGACTCTGATAAAATACTGAATTATTTATTGCAGCAGCACGGTGGCCAAAATTTGAAAGTGTTTCTAAATTGCACAGACGTGAAGGTTATAAATATTAAATATCTTTATGATAAAGCCTTTAAGCTCTTCAACAAATTTAAGATTAATATATATTATAAATAGGTTTCAAAGTTTATATTATTTCTTAAATATCACTTAACATATCAACGCTTGTTTTTGCCATTGGAAATAAACATAGAAATATTTAGTTGAACTTTTAGATTTGATGTTCATTTTAATGCAAAATTTTCTAAAGACCACATTATATTCAAATTTATTGTTCTTGCACTCATATTGAAGAGTATTCCATTGCTCATCGTGGTAATGGTTTCTCTGTCTTTTTTCTTTGCGCCATTGTTTGCCCTGTTTATGTATTTATTATTGATTTTGGCTCGTGCCCCATTTGGTCTGGCAGTTTATTTTTGGATTTTATTTTCATGACAATGGGTGGTTTATTAACTTTCAGTTAGCTGACACAATAATTAAGGGGCTTATGAGCTGCAGTTTGGTAAGCCAAATTACGTGAAATATTCTTCGGGAGATTTATGACAAATTTAATGACGGCTTTCGGCACTTTAATGCAAAAGACAATCGAATGACAGGCCAAAGACAGAAATTATAGTTATCGATGAAATTGATTCTTAATTGAGATATATTGTGATATTTTCCTAGGTCAACATATTACTTATGCCTCAATTTTAACGCCTCACCAGAAGCCACGTTCTTATTTATGGGCATTCATGCCAGTCATAAATTTCAATTTTGAAATGCACCAATTCTGTAGACCCAGAAACATGGTAAACAAGGCTAACGACATAAAGGAAAACAACTAGAATTCCTGGCCGGCATAAAATGTTAGTATGTTTTATTCACCAAACCCCCGTCGATTCCCTCCCCGCGTTCAACACCCAACCACCTTTGGTTTTGTGTGTAAGTTGCGTGAGTTCTTCATTCAACTTGAGACTTTGTCGACTCGAGTGCTTCTTGCTAACCCGAACTCCCGCCATCGCGTTGAACGTGTGTATATCTCGCCCTTTTTTGTGTGTTTCTTTGCCTAGACCAAACTTTTCGTGACTGGACAAAATGCTGCTCGGCGTTTTGTAGGAAATGCCAGCCTGTCCTGGCTGTCCTGTCTCTCGTTGGCACACACACTCTGCTGCCCGGGCTTTGCCTTCCTCAGTTAGTTTCATTTGCCTTTTACATTTCCACACATTTCCTACTTTTTTGCTACTGCTTTCATGCACTGCGAGAATATTTTAACTCAATAAATTGTTGCTTTAACAAAAAAAATCTATTAATTCATCACAGAATCAACAAGAAAATGTCAAAAAGAAGTTTCCATTTATTGATAGTTTTTTTTTAAAATGTTTATGATTTCAGGTAAAAGAAAAACATTTTATTAACACAAACTTAATTAGTAAATAATTTATCAACACCAAAATTATTAAATCAAATTAATATTTATCAGGAAGTTTTCAAACAGTATTATAAATAAAACATTAATTGCACTTTTAGTTTTATATTTTAAGAATATATCTAAAAAATAATTTATTATTACAGAATTCTGTTCTCAGTGTAGTTGCGTGTCTGTGCATAGACGACCTACTCAAAAGAGGGATATATGGGCGGGAAAAGGTCCTGGGCAGGGAGGATGGTGGGGACAGCGAGACGACGCTTTGCATATTTATTTTATTTGATTTCTGTTCGCTTTTTTCTACGTTATATGTATTTTTTTTTGTAGGTTTGGCGGGGTCTTGATGTTCCCGCTTATATAACAAACGCGACGTGTGATTAAAAATTCGTAATTTGCCCGTATTTCGTATACGTACCCTAGCTCACCTGCTACCCTTCTTTGTGTGTCATGTTTTTTGTAGCATACCTGAGGCGTTCCACTTCCCAGTTCA